TAAAAATAATACCAAATATGAAGAATAGCTACCAATTATATTGGACCTATTGGATCCAAAATTTGTAAAAATAGTAATATAGATTGATTTATTCTCCTTCTAAAATTCCACAACTCAAAATAAAGATATTGGTACCTGACAAGGAATATCACTTGAGAGGACTTTCAGAGAACTAACTCCTTAAAAGAAAGCTTTAAAAACTATGAGGAACAAAAACGAGAATCTACTTTTAAATCATTAGTTTCAGTTTTCATATCACGTTTAAAATCTTATCTTTACTAAATGAAAACGATTTAATAAGTTAAACCATAGTTATGTTTTGTTGAAAAGTAATGTAAAGAGATCATATTGAAATATAAAAGCCAAGATTGTTTTACAATTTTATAATCTGTTTAACGATATTAAGTTAATTTCTAGAATAGTGATTATTTTACTTTATTTATATCATGAATTAATTTTTGTTACAAGGGCGAGTATATGTTCAACAAAGTGTCAATACCAACTAAAGTTCAAGGTGTAGCACTTCCTATCTACGGAAGGCTGAAATTGGAAATAGGCATCCTAAAGAAATCAAACTTCAAAAGAGTTGGATGTTTCTATCTGGAAGCTGACTTTTTACCCAAAAAAGTTAGATCAACGAAAAGGAACTGACACCATAAAAATGAAAAAAAAAAAAAATGTTATTTTTGTTATTGAATAAAATCACATTTATTCTGTAAGAAATAAAATATTTCAAACAAATATATATATAATTTTTTTTTACATTTATTTATTGAATAATATTATATTTTGTCACTAAGGACATTAGTAAATAGTGATACAGGCTTTCATTCACACCAAATGTACAATAAATAAAAATAAATTAAATAGAAGAAGCAAAATAATAATACTAAAAATAAATATATACCTATAAACAAATGAAACTTAAACCAATCACAACTTAAATACAGACATACTTTCGTACAATGTTAACAAAATTCATTCACACAGGAGAACTCCTAGCCAAGCTTTTCTTTTTCAAAAAAAAAAAAAGTTAATAATCTCAAATTAAGATTTTACAATGCTATGATAAAGTCATTTCTGATAAAAGGTTTGAAAGAAAAATTCTCTGCACGATACCTTAAGCGATCCGGGATATAGATATATATATAATAACAAACAATTTCCAAAACTCAATTTGGAGGATTTCATGCTTGATGAACATATATCCTTATATACATATATATGTTCATCAAGGGTGAAATCCTCCAAATTCAGTTTTGGAAATTATTTGTTTGCTTGGTAAATGCAAGACTAATTGTAGTTAATTGTGAGTTAAGTTGTGCATCTTAGTTGAATTTTCATTATGATGAATTAAGACAATTTTAGCCATTTTTGCCAGAATGCTTGTAATGAATACTATTTAAATGAGTATACAAAAAAGGACATTATTCAATTAATGTCAACCAATATTTGTAATAAAAAGACCTTATTAATAGCCAAGATTGTTTTACAATTTTATAATCTGTTTAACGATATTAAGTTAATTTCTAGAATAATGATTATTTTACTTTATTTATATCATGAATTAATTTTTGTTACAAGGGCGAGTATATGTTCAACAAAGTGTCAATACCAACTAAAGTTAATCAATAAGTGTGATTAATTTTCTTATTTATTTTTATTACAATCTTAGTCCTGATTATATTATAATTTTTTTTAATTAGTTATACTTAGAAATAATTCATCTTGTCTTTTGACAGTATTGTCTGTCAGTAAAAAATAATTTAAACAAAATTAATTTGATATATATATATATATATATATATATATATATATATATATATATATATATATATATATATATATATATATATATATATATATATATATATAAAACATTAATTAACAATAATAATTAATATATTTACAATTAACATATATATAATATTAATTTTAAACGACTAAAGTTGCCAGAGCGCAGGCTGCGCTGAGATTTCTGGATCCGTGTAGGGTTTGTAATGTGCCACGGGCTAAGAACACCAAGGAAGACCTGGAATAATGAAGTGGAGGAATCCAAAATCAATGGCTTCTCTGAAATCAATGAAAATATTCATAGGTTCTTCATATTGGATAACTAAGTAGTCTACAATTTAAAAACTATATATTTACATTTATTTATTTATTTGAACCCTACCTGGTTGTTACTTGGTTGTTGTGGTGGTTGTTATACGTCACAGCATAACTGCTTGCTTCTGTAATGAGACCAATGCTCATATTTAGATTTGCTGTTTACGGCCTTATTCCGCCCCTCCTTGTTCCGGTGGCCTCCTTGGCGCGGGTCTTCTTCTTGTGAGGTTGAAGTGTTTGGATCCAATTGCTTCTTTCCACCTGTACACAAATTCTTTGTAGTACGGGTAGTTTTCTTCCGTAACTATCTGATGGAAATCGGTCTCTGTCAGAACATAGAGACCTGTCTCACTCCCTCTCCAATTTGGCCCTTAGCGACTCAGAGTCGGTGCAGTTTATGATAATGTGCTCAGCAGTCTCCGAGATCCCACATCTAGGGCATAGAGGATCGACATCTTTTCCAAATTCATGAAGCTTGTCTCCCCCATGGCCAGTAAGGAATCGCGAGAGCCAGTAATCCGGGAGAACTCACTTGGCTTCCAAACGTGGTTGAACGGTGGGGAAGTACTTGCTCAGAGTGGTCCCTTTTGGGCATATCATCCACCGTTGATTCCACACTTTAATTTATCCTCCCGGATAATAGATTTTCATTTTCTGGGATTTTTGTAGGTTTTCCAGTAGACCTGCTGATCCTTCTTTCTTATATAAGTACCTGAACATATCTTCATGCAGGAGTTAGAGACGTACTCCTCCCGCTAGTAACTATACCGCCTCATGAGGATCAGTCCTGTACGCTCTGGTGACTCGCAGCAAAGCCGTTCGTTGGATTGTAGCCAACTTGCTCTTCTGAGATTCCGATTCCACGCAGAGGACGGATATCTCGGAAACGAAGTGAGGTACCGAGAAAATGTATGGAATAAATCTTATTACAAATTTTATCAGATTTAATTTTGTATAGAACGTTTTTGTCAATGCGATGGATAGTTTTCCTGATATAAGTGAAAACCCGAAATAATTGACCTACTAGGCTTTCCCCTCATCTGGCTCACCATCTAGGAGTGCGGACTTTTAGTATGTTTACCTCTTTACTAGTCAAAGCAATGAACCAAAGTCAAAAATTGTATGCCCATCACTTCCTTCTATATCCTCTTTTGGTACATTCATTGACTGGACTATATGACCCAAGATTTGTCTCCATTTTCTATGTAATACTACTCCATTCCCCTTTATTCAGTCTTGTGCCACCCTTTAGTAACACATAATGTTTTCAAATCCTCTTCGATATTTTGCGCTCACTGTCTGGTCGGTCAACTCTTCTTTTGCCATATATCAAAGCTTGCTTGGGGTCTTATCAATTAAGTATTCTTATTATTATGGGCTAGCCATTCTATTTGACACAAGTCTCCTTAAGACAGAATGTGATACAGTTTATAAATCAGTTTTAAAAATCATCAGTTACTTGTAATAGGATGTTTTTTTTAAATATCTATATTAACTTTTACTTTAAATATAATTTTATATAGATTAATATATGGGAATATTTTCTTAATAATATGAAGGGCAAATATAATGAATTTTACAGTAAATTTCTTACTGATAAGCTTACTATTGATAAAATGTTATGGACTAAAAATATATTGTTTTTTATTTAATAGTGGGGATATTGATAATTTTAAGAATGCGAGAAACAATTAAAAATAAAGAACAGCTTAAATTTTGGTTCACATATATTTTACATAAATAGTTCTTAGAACGTAAGATAAATCAACAAAAATAAATATATGGATCTAATATTAAAATTTTCCTTAAACAATAAAACAAACATAGGTGTAATGTGCCTTAGAACCATTAATATGGATATTCTTGTGTTTCTATTATTACTAATGGGAGTAAATTGGAAAATGATCTGTTGATTGTAGAATGGGTATTGTTAGCACGGGCGGATCTACGGGGGAGGGGGAGTTTCGGGCTGAAGCCCCTCCTCCCAAAATGGTATAATATAACCATGTTTTATCAGAAAAAATATTAAAAAATTATCTCTTAAAGTATAATTATTCGTGTAATTACATTTAAAAGGGCTTTAGGAATCACTTAAACACCAGTTCATATAGGTACTTAGTTTCTTTCTTATTTTCCAAAGTAATTATCGTTACTTTAATGAAAAAAAAAGCTTTCGGGCTGAAGTCCCCGACCCCAAAATTAAATCCTGGATCCGCTAGTGATTGTTAGACCACTTATCTGAAGTAACTTTAACACCACCATATTATTTATCACTTTTTAAACTTGGTCTCAAAAAGTGATTATGGTTAGAAATATAAATAAGATTTTATTTTTAATTTCTGACAAGATAATCACAAAACACAATACATAGAAACCAAGTGATCATTCAAAATTCTGAACCAATCATATCACATCAAATACAAACACACAAATCATATCACATTATAAAATAGTATATTTACTCTATATTGGGTTATATACTAAAGTAATAAAATGTAGTCCTGAGGTATTCAAATATCCTTCAGATCTTGACAGAATTACTATTAAAGATGTCTTACAATAAATTTAAAAATATCAATTATCTACATATTTAATAACTTCACGAAATCGTGAGAGTTTTCAAAAACTAAGTTATTATCAAACTAATAAATTACTCATACGATATTAATTCTCATATAATTTGATAAGAAAAATATTCAAGCCGGTTATTTCCCTCCACTGTCAAGTTTGGAGGCAACAGCATCGATAGTAGTTCTACTATCGATTTATAATTATTACTTCAGACATTGTCGCAAATATTTTGATTTGAAGCAAATTAATGAATCAAATAGAACAAGTAATTGATTTCATTCTTATACGTTCGTAAACATTTAACACATCTGAAACATATGATTTAATGTAATGTTTTATCTTTTGAAGGTGAAATGAAGATATCGATTATAAATCGTAACGACAATGGAAGTTTAAATTCATGGGGTAGAAAAACCGTTAGAATAGTAAACATACCCATCGACAGTAAATACAGGATTAGCAAATGACATTTGGTTTTTATTAGGTCAAAAAGAATTCAATATGAAGCTTGACGAATGGGGGAAATTACTTATATCTTGGGTTTGTTAATCTAACATTTTGAAATACTTTTGTGTGTTGTATGATTTAAAACAGAGCTGTGTATTTATTGTGATTTTAGGCCAATTTTTTGGATCCTAACGAGAATATTATAAAAATTGAAGATTTATCTACTTCTGGGTTCTTTCCTCGTTTGTTGAAATCTTTGTAAGTTTTTTTTCTGTTCTAATTCAGCAATTAGATTCATAGTCAAAGTATTGTTATCTTTTTAAAATTATGTAAAAATAATTTATTTATTTATGACAGACAATCAAGTGATGGAGAAGCTAATATTGAAGAATACTACAATTATTTGCAAGGTATGCGGTTGCTTATATCTTTTTCCTCTTATTAATGGCTATTTATTTTTTATCGGTTACCGTCTTTTTTATAGAGCATTATAAGTCAATGGATTTTGGTAATCCTAAAACTAAAGAAGGAGCTGTTTTACATGCAACGACATTTCTTATTTATTGTTCACTGCATCATCCCAACAATGGGCTGCAAAAGAAAATGATAGATTTACCTCATTCGACACAATGCCAGTTAACAGACTTTTTACAAGAATTTGTTGATGTTCCGAAGTCCAGCATAACGAGGGAACTTATATTTTCTAAAGTTTCAGAAATTTGTAAGTTATCATTTATTCTCATGCATTTGACTTTTGTTATGGTTATGAAAAGGTCTAGAATTTAAGAAAATTTAGAATTTTAAATTTGTCCTTATTTTAATCATTTAATTGTTTAGATACCCTATGTATTGAATGCTAGATTGTAAACCTGTTATTTGATGATAAAACAACTCTAAAAGGGTCCTCTTGGTTATATTATCAATTAAATGATATCTGCAGCACTGGGAATACAATAGGGTATTAAGTATCCTGAAAATTTCATAAATCAGATATAACAAGATAAAGGAAAGAAAGAACAATATAATCGAATTTTTGTAAAAGAACATAATTCTATGTTGGTTCAAATTTCCCCAAAAAAATACTGAATATAATATTTATTTATTATATATATATATATATATATATATATATATATATATATATATATATATATTTATATTTATATATTGTTTGTTATAATCAATAGTTACATAGGGGAGGGTGATGTTCTATTAGGTTCGAAACTAGCACAGTGATTTTTCTAAATGTCACTGAAGTTTTGGGACAAACTGATTTGAAATTGGTGAAAAAAGATATTACTGAACAAAACACTATTTCTGAATCCGTATGTTAGACTTCCCTTGTAGGAAATATCGCTCCATGAATGTTAAATTGGTGGGATAGATAAAAGTAAGAATTACAAACAATTAATCCAATTAACAACCTCAAGTTATGGTTCATTGATAATTTCAATATCAACTTTGAAGTGAAAATAATTTTAAAATCAAATATTTATATTAAAGTGAAGGATTCAGGAAATTGGTTCATCACGTTTATAGATGGTATGCAAATATGTTGGCAGTGATAAGAGTAAATCCTTTTGATATGTTTAAGAAAATCAGTTGGAACAGCCTACATGAGAGCCCCACCAAAATTGTCTAGAACTTTTAGCAATGCACCAATATCTGTCAGTAATATTCTAATTCACACCAGTAGCCAACCAATAATATTGGACAAATGATTTGCCATTGATAAGGAGCTCAGATTTCTCGTAATGACCAAATATAATACTCAGTGTTAATGTTAATCAATTACCATTTTATGATATTGAAATTTGTTGATGTAGGTATTGCTGGTTTACAAGGAAATGCCGTTCGCACTCCATCCAATTTTGGAACCCCTGTCACCTACACTTCAAGTCCTTCTACTGAAGAGATCATGGTATTTATATATATTACTAATATTTATATATTATTTTCATAAAATTGGAGTGTGGGTAACTTGATAAATGATACTTAAACCTGAAGTTGCGGAAATACTCTTTCACTTTTTTTTTTTTGTGTCCTCTCCTTCCTCGCCGTTAAGGCTATTTGGGGTTTTCTCGGGCCAGGAGGTGTGGGCGGGGATTTAAAAGACTCCATCGGCACCGGGATGTGAACTTGTGACTATTTTTAAATCATATATCAGGTTGCCTGGCAACAGCGGTACTGTGCACAGGCGTTAGCCCATTCGGCAACTCCGCACATAAAAATACTCTTTCACTTGTTTCAGTATTAATAATTTTATCTATGAATATTTGTTTGTATTATTAATATAACTGTCTAATTCTAAACTGAAAATTTAAAATCCCTCATCAGTTCAGTATGTTGGTTTATCAAAACTTTTGCCTCAATATTAAATCTGACATTTTTATCTGCCTAAATCAGTATCAATGACTGAAGGTTATTTCCCAGACATTTTCTAAGTTTTCATTTTGTACCTAAAGATATTCTTAGTTTAACCATTTGACTGCAGGAGCTCATTCGTGAGCTTCTACCATACATAACATCCTGAAATCCACAAAAACGTAAAAAAAAAAACAGATTTCTTTTTTTTTTGCATACATTTGTTTAAAATGCTATTTTGAGTCACCCTGCAAGATTTTAGCTTTCAAAAATGTATTTTAACGATTTTATTCAACTTTTAAAAAATGGGAAATACACCTACCCGGCCGCATATGACAATACAAAATTAGAGCAGCAATCCCACAACACTTCGTTTTCTTGTATATTTGCTTATTTATGAAAAACAAAATAATTTAAAATTATCATAAAAATAACTATAAGTGATAATAAAAATTTAATTATATTATCACTAAAAAAGGACACCGACGGTGGGATTCAAATTATATATTTCTTTGTATTTACAAAAATTTTTCTTTCATTTAAAATTCTGAAAATAGCGCAGTTACAAATTTTATTATTGCACTTACATATATTGTGAGTTTCAAACACTTTTATATTATATGGAATATATATATTGTTTTTAGGTGGATGGAAAAATGATAGAACATTTTAAATCTGTAAAAAGTATTTTAATTCTGTATATTTTTACATTTATTAATTTTTACGATTACATTTTAATTTTTGTATATTTTTACATTTATTTAATACTATATATATATATATATATATATATATATATATATATATATATATATATATATATATATATATATATTGTATTTATTATTTATATATATACTCCATTATATAATGTAAAAAACTTAAATTTATAGTATAAAAAGATTAACTTGTACCAAAATTAATTTATTGACATTTATTTGATGTATAAAACCTTTAAATAGAATATAAATAAGATCATGGGTATGATACAAATAACAGAGAAAGGATATGCCTTGGGTCCAAAATAAATCTGCAACTGATAATCTCTAAATGATCAGAATCCAGACCGACTGCACAGTCGGCTACAGGGGACTGATGAATGCACCAACTAAGCCACAAGTCAAATGGTGAAGGCGGGACTTGCCCCTGTTTAAGTGGCATATATCCCGTCTGAACCAGTGGCCTAACTCTTAACAGGAAGGCATATATCCTGTCCGCATCAAAAAAGTTAATCCTTATTTTGGACTAAAGAAGTTGTGTCGGATTTGAACTAAAATATCCTCCATATAAATATTATTTGATGGTCTGTAGAGAATATTGCTATAAATTATTGAGATTTATCATGGTACTATCATTTTTCATCCATTAATGTTTCTTGTTTCATTTACTTTATTTTTTAAATATCTTTTTGTAAACATTTTTATACTCACTGATGCCAATGAATATTATTTACTTATTAAATTTTCTACTCAGGGTTCAAAATCGAGTAGCTCAACAAAAAAGCCTTCACGGTTAAAGAAACTTAGGAACGATATTGAAATATTGACTTCTCTGAAAGTGGAATTAACTGAAGAACTTGAATCTGCGAAAGAAGCCATTTCTAAATTAGGTATTTACTATTTCTTTTGTTTTCAAGTTTTTGACATAGTTTTTTGTGTCTGTATTTAATCATACTTGTATAAATGTAAATGTTTCAGAATGTGACATTAAGAAAAGAGATGTTGAAATATTAAAACTGAAGTCGGAAATTAAAAAATCTGAAGATATTGAACATGTCTGTGAAACACAAAAAAATAATGATAATTTTAAAGTTGAAAAATTGAAGGCTACCATTGAGAATTTGGAACTACAGAAATGTGAACTAGAGGGCACTGTATCACAACTCTATGATGAGAAGGATACAATTAATGAAGAGGTAGGTACGTCAGCAGTATTTTTATTGCCGTTGTTTACTCTGATTGCTACTTAAGTATACCACAGAAAATATATTTCCATGTGGGTTAGTGCAAACCCTGAAAGTGTTATCTGAATTGGTTTAACTGTAGCTGGTGTATGCCTGTTATCTGAATTTTATTAAAGTCCGATAGATTAAGACACAGCACCAAATTTGTTTTTTCATGTCTAAAACGTAACAAGCTAGTGGAAAATTTTAATTTTGAGGACTGATCTTTTCTTCACTTCCTGCATACATGCGAAGCTTTACTCTACTAGTTAGGAAGCAAAATTATTCAAAAATGAATTGTTTATCTATTTAAAGGTAATTTTTAATATCTCTATATGTAGGAACTTGATAAATTGTAGGAGCACCAGGTAGAAGTTAGAATAAGAAATAGATAAATTGGATAAATATTAAAGCGTTAAAAAAAAAAGTTAGAAACTTTTTTTTTGTTCTCATTCCTTCCTTTCCTTATTGCAACACAGAAATTAGTAGAATTTTTATTTTAAATCTTCACCAAAATTTCCCAATGTCATCTTCAGACAAAAATGTTTCTAACGTCTCTTAGTTTTCTGACAACACTGCGTGGCTCTTTCACTCCAATTTAGTGGAACAAGATACGTTACAGCCATATGAACTGAACGTAACAAGTGTCAACAAATATCCTATCTACTGACGGCCTGCTGCAGTATTTGTTTTAATACCCAATATAACTTTAGTAGATGTTTAATTTGAATTTATATTCTGTATTCAATATTTTTTACTTTCACTTACGTATATATGTAATATATAGTAAGTGTAAGTATTGCTATTGAGAAAATTTTTGAATCTGAGTTTTCGACGGATTTATACGTTTTGAGGTACCCTGAGCCGAAATGGCCAAGTCCCAAAAAATGGTCTGTGTGTCTGTGTGTTTGTATGTTAGCAGTCTAGCTCCAAAACGAAAAGTCCAATGAAACTGATATCACGTATTTAAGATAGGTATATGCCTTAGTTGTGGTGGCAACTTTTTCCTTAAAATCGGCTAACTGGAAGTGCCACTTTATATCAACGCTGAAACACATTTTTACAGTTTTCTCAAAAATGGCTCTAACGATTTTGATTAAACTCGGTGTATCATTGTATAATTAAGTGGTCTTTAATATAAATTAGGTCTTATCCCCATTGATGTCACTTTACAGGGCTTAAATACCCAATGTTCATATATGTCTTCCTCTAAAGTACCTTTAATATGGTTTATTTTAAAAAGATAATTATTTTGCATTATTCAGAGTTATGAAAAAATGCTAAATATATCTTTTGAAAGAATTTGATAAGTTAATAAAGGAGAAAAAAAAATAAAAATGCAGAAAAACGTAGCTATAGACTGTAGCGCCTAAACGAATGTACCGATTTCATTGAGACTTCGCTAAAGTCATTTTCTCGACGCCCTTTAAATTTATCTATATAACATACTTCAACGAAAAGAAGCTGAATAATTAAATTCCGAATAACTCAAAAAGTATACACTTTTTTGGGAATGTTGTATGGTTTCCTAAAAGTTTATGGAATAGCCTAAAAAAAAAAAAAATCGTTAAAATCGGACAATTAGGAGATAAGATATGGTCTCTAGTTTTTTTTTTAATACGTTCTGCTGCAATGGTTATATCCTTTGTTTCGGTATTTGAATTTTGAATGTGTTAATAAGGTAATGCTAATTTTTTTAAAATCCACCTAAGCAAGTTGATGGCATTGTTAAAAAAACTATTTCAGTGTACTTGTGTGAAAGAAGAAATAAAATATAAAATCATTTCATGGATGTATAAATCATGTGTTTATAATATCAGATACATTTACTGTTGTTTAGTAATTATTTATTAAATTTTAAATTGGTCCATAATCGTCTTATCTGTTTGGCTACATTCAAGGAATTGCTGTGTTATATATGTGTGCGATGTTATATTGCGTTCCTGGCGTTTGAGAATTTAAAGAGAAAAAAGGATTTTTTTTTTATTTTGGGAAAGTGTTTATTATGCTATGTCTATTGTTTAATATGGTTTATTGTTGATAATTTGTAAGAGTATTGTTATGAAGGGAAAGAAAAAAAAAAGAAAAATATAATATAAAATTAATGTCCGTATTGATAAGTATGCTGTGTACGAAGCAACCCTATGTAGTAGGGCAGCATTACTTTTAATAAAGTATTTCTCTCTAAATAATTAGGTATTAAAGTTAATTCCAAAATATTGTCATATAACTTTTTAGAAAACTAAATTAGTGAATAATTCGATAGATCTTCTCTTTGTGATATTCCACTACCATTTCATTGTACTTGTGTGAAAAAATTAGTGAAATACAAAAATATTTCATAGATACGTTTATAACTCTAAATATATTTACTGTAGTCTAATAACTCTAGATCTCATAGTATATTTAAATATTTAGATATCTATCATCCGTTTATTCTGAAAAATCATCATGTAACCTTTTAGAAAATTAAATTAGTGAATAGTTTGATAATTTTTCTTTTTGCGATATTCCAACAGAATCCACTTACAATTAGTGTGACAACTTTTGACTTGTCTATGACAGACACTGCAAATCTCTTAATTCCGTTTTAATAAATTGCAATGGAAAATAACAGTTTAATGACTTATAGTCGTACAATCCATAATCAATGGATTGAACAATCCATAATCAACGAATCGTACAATCCATAATCAACCGGTGATATAGTAAATAGGACTTTTGTTATTTTAATAGCATTTGTGTTTTTTTAGCTTTAGCTCAGTTTAAAATGCAATTTAAAACATTTTATAATAGCCTAACATGGCCAGAAAATAATTTTTATTCAAAGTTCAAAGAGTAAGTGAAAGTTGTGTGTTGCGCGCACCAGATTTTTTAATATTATGGTGTGATTTCTAATGGAAATGGCTTTATTTTTATTTTTGAATTACAAATTCTCTCGGTGGAACCTGTCCACTAGGGAGTGCGTCCCTCGGGTGGCAGATAGGGGATCCCTCTTGGGAGGGTTGGTCTGAATATACAGAATAAAGACTCATGGACCAACAGGTACCCAGTGCTGGGGGGTATAGCCCGGCCACCCTTCCTCCTGAGGGGATATAAATATTCAGGAGGCCAGTTGTCCCGAGGATACGGGACCTCCAGCACTGGGCTAATCACCTGTCTGGAGAATCAACGATTCAAAGCAATTCAACTAGCCTCGGATGTGGACTGTCTTCAAGGAAACGACCTGGCGCACTAAGGGATATACGAATTGGAACGTGGAACATAAAAACTTTAACTGGGAAGGAAGTTGAGCTGGTGTAGGAAATGAGGACCTACAAAGTAGAAATCCTTGGCATAAGTGAAGTGAAGAAAAAGGGCAGTGGAGAAATGAAATTGGCTAATAATTACTCCCTAATTTATGCTGGAGAACCTAGAGGGGTTTTCGCCAAAGAGAGAGTGGGTCTAGTAATGTCGCCTAATATGTATGATCATTTAGAGGACTGGAAGCCGATATCTCCAAGAATGATTGTAGCAGATTTTAAGATGACCATAGGTAAGATTTCCATAATCCAGGTGTATGCACCAACGGAAGATGCTAGTGTTGCAGACAAGGAGGCATTCTACTCGGATTTGCAAAAAATAGTGGATAAAGCTAAAGGAAAAGGAAGGTCAGTAATCCTGAGTGGGGACTTCAATGCCAGAACAGGAAATGATGTAAGATCTGGATATGGAGTTTTGGGGCTGCATGGAGGTGAGAATGTGAGGAATACTAATGGACAACGGCTAATAGACTTTTGCATACATAATGACTTCCTCATAGGAAATTCTTTCTATCCACACAAGAGAATCCACAAAATCACTTTCTCATGCATGGAACGAAATAGTATAATTGACTATTTCATGTATGATAGGAACATAAAGCAGTATTTCGCTGACATAAAAGTAGTAAGAGGAGCGGAGATAAGCAGCGACCACCTTTTACTTGTGGCTGATACAAAGATCATCCCGAAGTATAAAAGGAAAACAAAAGTATTCGAAACCCTCAACGTAAGAGCCTTGGATGACCCAGAGAAAAGGGCCCTCTTTACAGAAAGCCTGGAAAATAAATTAAGGGAAACGTCATTCAATGGAGATGTGGAAGGCACTGAAAATATGTATTCTGGAAACAGCAAATACAGTTTGTGGGAAGAAGAGAGTGTCTGGTAAGGGAAAGCGGACAGACTGGTGGACCAATGATCTCCAACGACTGGTTTCTCGGAAGAAGCTTGCCTGGAAAGCATACCTTAAGGATAGAACTGAAGGAAAGCTACACTTATATCGAATAGCCAGGAATGAATGTAAGGTAGCCATATGCCAGGCGAAGAAGAAGTCGTGGGAGGAGTTTGGTAAAAGGCTGAGCGAGGATCATCGCGAATCTATAAGAACATTTTGGCGAAAAGTTAAGATGTTAAGAGGAAAACAATGCAAGCCTATTAGAAATGTAAAAGGTAGCGATGGAATCCTATTAACAGACAAGGAAAAGATCCTTGGCAGATGGAAGGAATATTTCCAGGAACAATTCTCCGAGAATCCAGAAACAGGCCATTACCAAGAACAAGAGCCCAATATTCAAGAAAGCCTGGAGGTTATAGAGGAAGAAGAAATAGAAAATGCAATCCATAAGCTAAAAAGAGGTAAGGCATCAGGAAGGGATGGAATCCCACCAGAATATTTAAAATTCGGTGGTCAAGAACTTCTTAAAGCACTACAATCGCTGTTCCAAGAAGTATATGACAGAAAGAAAATTCCCATGGACTGGGAATATTGCATAATCCTCCCGATTTATAAAAAAGGATGCAAGACAGATTGCAAAAATTATAGACCCATTAGTCTGCTATCAGTGGTCTATAAACTTTATACTACTATACTAGAAAGGAGACTCCGACGGATTGTGGAAGGGCAGTTAGAAGCGGAACAGGCTGGTTTTCGTCCAGGCCGACAGACGCAGGATCACATCTTTGTTCTCAGAAATATTGCTGAAAAAGCTTGGGACAGAGATAAAAATCTGTATCTTGCATTTCTTGATCTGAAGTCAGCGTTTGATGTGGTTACAAGAAAAGAAATTTGGAATGCCCTAACAGCCAAGGGTGTACCTGGAGACTTGCTGGTAGCCATACAGTCAGCCTATCAAGGAGCAATGACAGTGGTAAGGATGAACGGTATGGAATCGGAACCTTTTCCAATTGCAAGAGGAGTTAGACAGGGAGATAGCTTAAGTCCCCTTCTATTTATAAATGTAATGGATGAAATCCACAAAATCTGTAAACGTCGAACTGCGTGGACAACAATTGGGAAGTGGAATTTGAGAACTGTCCTCATACAAAGCCTTCTATACGAGGATGACATAGTCCTAATAGCCGACACGAAGACCAAACTACAACAAGCTCTGGTAGAGTGGGAAGAAGAGTTGCTCAGGAAAGGGATGCAAATTAACACCTCCAAGAGTAAAGTGCTGGTTATGGCGAGGGAAGAACGAGAAGATGTCCAGCTGATCTGCAATGGTGAGACACTAGAGGTGGTGACTGAATATACCTACCTGGGGACCGTAATTAGTAGTTCGGGTAAGATAGACGCCGAAATATCAAGTAGAATATGTAAGGCGAATCAGGTGTATTACCAGACTACTAATAGCATTATCGGCCATCGCGAAGTAGACAAGAAGACCAAAATGCACGTATATAAGTCTGTTTACCTACCTACACTCACCTACGGCGGAGAAAGCTGGACAATGCTAGACAGGCACTCTAGTCGCATAACGGCAGCAGAAATGAGGTTCCTTCGCAGATCTGTTGGCAGAACTAGAAGGGATCGCATTAGGAATGAAAGCATTAGAGAGCAGCTAGGAGTTGCTGAACTTAAAACTACTCTAGAAAGACGGCAACTCCAGTGGTTTGGACACGTCTGCCACATGAATGAGAATTTGAATCCTATAAGGATATTAGAGGCTCGACCCACAGGAAGGAGACCACGCGGACGCCCCAGAATCACGTTCCAGGAGTACATTCAAAGGATTGGATGTAAAAGAGGCAAAACCCTTAATGAGATGAAGCGGCTAAGTAGGGACCGGGAAGAGTGGTTGCACTGGTTGAGGCTCCTCAACTCTAACTGATGGCATAAGAGGAAGACAAAGAAGAAGAAAAAGAATTACAAATTAAATAAAGTTCGGTGTTAGCTATGGGTGACATTGGTCATTGTAGGAAATGTCAGTTTCCAACAGTTTCATCGATCTTTTTATGTTTTATGGAGAAAAATTTATTGTTCCCTAAAGGATTGTCTAAATATCGCTATAAAAACACTATATTTATTGTCAGTGTTCTTATCGCTAAAAAATAAATTTAATACCATTTTTTGAGAATATGATTAGACTCCTTCTTTCCTATCCTAATGAATTGAAACTATATTATTTGTGATTTAATGAACTTTTGCTACCTGTATTCATTTGTTTATACCTAATATATCTTATATTAGATTTTTTTAAGTAATTGGAGTTTTTTAACTTATATTTTTTCCCCTAATTATTGGTGCTCAAAAATTATAAAATGTACAAAAATGATTAAAATTAATGTTAGATAGTGTTTTGGAACTGGTAAGTAAACTTTCAAAATGGACTCTTAAGTGATTTTTTAAAAATCTTTAAGTGTTATTTTGAACTGTGAACTACTGAGAGATGTGATTGCTGGAAGTGGTGTCAGTGGCGAGTTATTTCACAAGTATCTGTCGAAATGATATTCCCTGCCTAGAATAGAATAGTGATCATCATCCTCTTGCTTTTAACTGATACTTATTCTTATCCAACTATGTTACTTCTGCAGTGCTAATAGTGTCATAGTTCTATTATATGTCTTGTTTAGTTTATCCATGTTTTTTGGAGGAATTATCTATCTAATGTTTCATCATGATTTCAGATGAAGAAGTTGAAGAACATTTTACAAAACGCTGAAATTCAAAGAAAGCATTCAGACGATATCAGAGATGATTTAGAAGAAGAAATTACTAGATTGAAGGGTGTAATTGAACAGCTTACAATAACAAATAACGTAAGTAGTTATTAATATGGAACAAGTTGATCTCTGAGAACTATATGCATTTGAAAATACGCCTTTTCATTATCGATAATAATTTTTAGCCACACAAACTTAAAATTTGAAGTATTAGAACTATAGTTTCTAACTTATTTCTTCATGAAAAACCTATCTTGCTATGTTAATACTATTTAAAATCTCATGTTCTCATTAGAAGTCCTTTCCAGAAGAATTCATATAATAAAATGATATAATTTTTCGTAAAATCTGGAAAAAATGGTTCATCATTTCTACAACAGAGAACTTTCTGATTATCTGAATAAACTATCTTTACTTCTATTAGTTTTGTGAAAAAAAAAATCAGAATATGACATTAAGAACCCTGCCTCAAAATTTGTGTTAACTCATTTTTTAAAAATCTTTAAAAAGTATAGCAATATATTTTTACTATACTTACAGGAACAGTCTGAGTATATAACAGAATTGACAAGGGTAAAAGATGATTCAAAATGTTTCTCTGACAGCCAGTCTGAAAATATTATTCTGCCAGAATCTCTAGGGCAACATGTGATAGATCTTCAAGTCCGGGAACTTCAAGAAGAACTTGAAAAAAAGGTAAACATTTTCATATATTTGTTTTTAAAAAAAATTTAATTAATTAATAGGTAATAAATTTAAAATTATAGTTAATAGTTGATAGCAAAAGTAGAAGCAAGACAATTACTTAATCTGGGATCAATGAAGGTGTAACAAAATATATAGATGAGGAAAAAGTTTGTGGAAATTATATAAGTAACATTTTGTACAATTATTAACCATTATGTTCTATCACTTTCTGCCATTTCTCTTCATGAATTAAAATTCCATTGCTGTAGGACATAGCCTACAGTTATTAACTGTAATAAATAACTGAAGGTTATTTTCACACACCTGTTTTAAAACATAGTGATTGCGTGCATTGTAAAATAAATGAAAATATGAAGGTTCAACTTCAGGTCTGTTGGGTGGATGAAAAAAAAATTACCAATTCTTTCAATGACATGTATCATGGTAATGTCTTGATGGAATATAATTCTCCAAAATTAATTAATGGTTGCTATTTTAGTTGAAGTGCTCGCATTAATCTAATTATTTTTTATAACTCTGTCCATTAGATTTTTGCTTGATAGTCGATGTAGCATCCAAATATCAAACTTTTTATTATATCCAAACTTATGAAAATAGGTCACAACTGTTTTTTGCCCAGCCATAAGTTCACTCGCGATGTCTTGGTTGTAGTATGTCAGGCGTACTCAATAGTTTCCAAAAATTTAAGGACATGTTTTTTTGTGGGAAAACAATAATAAATCATTGATATCAGTATTTTCTGAATGAAAAAAACTAACCATTTGTGAGCTGCCAATGTTGAGAGCATCTTCACCATAAACAGTGTATATTTTATCACAAGTTTTCAGTGGATATTTGTCTTGATCAAAATGAAATTGTGAAATGTGAACTTTCTTGTTATTTACTTTCGTGTCTGAACGCTTATAAATGTTAAAACACTTCTTAAATTTCAGTTTTTAAGTTCATATAGATTGAAATCTCTCTTTTTGAATGAACTACAGAATATACTTCTTAAATAAGAAAATTGGGTAGTTAAAAATCAGATGAAATCGATTATAATCAAACCCAAATTTGGAGGATAGTCTGTGTCTACAGTAAAATAAAATAAATATTTGATATTGGAAAATTGTATTTAACAGTGTACCTGTAAAATAGAATAAAAGTTTTACATATATATAAAACAAAAGGCTCGCAATCAGATTTACATAATCAATGTTGTTACTTGCCTATATTATCAGTTGTTATGACCTCTTGGTTCAGAAGATTTCAGAGTAGTTGAAGTGTTTTTGTTGGTGTACTGTAGATTTTTTTAGTTACAGTTTCCCAATCTAATTAATTTTGTAATAATTTTTACAAAAATATGGGCCATATGATGATTAATATATGTAGACTTGAGTAGATTGAAAGCTATTATTGATTATTTTATTAAATTTATGAGTTCAGCCGCTTTTGATTACTTTACTCTATTATTTTGCAGGAAACTGAAATAGCTGAAGCAAAAAATATCATTAATGATCTCAGTTCTTTAATCAATGAAAATAAGGAAACTATAGAAAATCAAAATTCTCTGTTGACAAAAAAAGAAAATGAATTGGAACAAAAAAATGGTCACTTGGAAGATTTAGAACAATCCATTTTAAAGTTCAAAAGTGAATTGGAAAGTTTAAAAGAGGAATATCAACAACTTGTTAAAGAATCTGAGTATCAGGTATGTACGGTAAAAGAAGAATTAAATGTATCACATAATACAGTAGCAAGTCTAAAATCAGAGAAACAACAACTGGAAGAAACTGTGAATTCTAATTTGGAAATGATCAGAATGCACGAGGAAAGAATAAGTAGTTTAAATGATGTAATACGTTTGAGTGATGAAGAGATCAATTCTTTAAAAAAAAACATTGTAAAACTAGAAAACCAATTAGATATTACATTGAAGTCTAGCGAAGAAGAAATTAGTTATAAAAATGAACAAATTAAAGTTTTAGAAGATTCTATTAATGCTTGGGTAGAAAGAAATTTAGAATTAAACAACATTCTCGGAAATCTTACTGCCGAGATGGAGGAAAAGAATCTCACCATTAAAAATAATGGAGCAGATTTAAGAAATTTAGAATGCCAAAATTTGTTTTTAACTAACACTCTACAAGAAAAAGATTCGATTATCAATAGTATGCAGACTTCGATAAACTCCTTGACCGCTGATGTATCTGCATTTAAACACAAAGAAAATTCTTTAGTCACTGAACTGAAATCATTGGGTTGTTGTAATTCACAGCTTCAATCGCAGATCTCTGGTCTGAATGAACTGCTGAACTCTTGTATAACAGAAAAGAATGCACTTTCGAAAACAGTTCAAGATAAGGAAATAGCTGCACAGCAACAAATAAATAAATTGAAAGACATGAAGAATGATTTCGAAGCTAGAAAAAGAAAACTTGAAAGTGATCTAGAACAAAAAGAAAAAGAATACAAAGAAGCTGAAGAAGATAGATGTCGCCTAAATATAGATTTGGATGACCTGAAGCACAAATTTATGTTTCTCGAAATAAAAATGAAAGAAAAAGAAAATGAAGTATCAGATAAATGTAGCACCATCGAAAAGTTAGAAAACGAGTTAGAGAAGTCTGTTAAGAAAGAAATAGACTTAACTAATCAGGTTCATGAATATGAAAGATGTGTTTCTACCACAGAACAAGAACTGGAGTCTTCTAAAGCAGCTATATCAGAGTTACAAAAAGAAGTTTCACAACTTTTGTTTGAAACAGAAGAGCACAACAGGCAAGAGTTTAATTTGAAAAATGAGATATCGACAAATACTGAAATTATCAACGAACTCAGAAAACAGTTATATGAAGCTGAAATAAATCAAAAAGAACTTCAAGAAGGATACATCAAGGAAAATGACTCTTTGAATTCTATTATTAGCGAGTTGAAATTGTCTTTAGTCAAACTTAATGAGGATTTATCTGTCAGTAATGATGTTAACAATGTATTAACCAAAGATGTGACAGCGAGAAAGGAATTAACTAAAAATCTGGAAAATACGATTGTCACTCTTCAGTCTATGTTACGATCTCTGGAAGAAGAGAACCATGTTTTGAATGACGAAGTCTTCTCTAAAGGCTGTGCTCTTGACGAATTACAGAAACAAATTGAGTCTTATAAAGTTGAAATTAATGCCTCAATCGTTGAGAAAGCAGCTATTTGTCATGAGTTGCAAAATTTCAAGGAATTGTACAATGATGAAGTTGAAAAAACAGATAATTTAAATAATAAAATTTCAGAATATGTTTCAAAAGTTAATGATCTTGCACAAGAGCTTGTTTCTAAAGAAGATGAAATCACTGACCTGAAAATGAGTGTAGAAGATTTGAAATTGAAGAAAAACCATCTCGAAGATGTCAATAATTCTGCCCAAAGTAAGATAACTTCCTTAGTCGAAGAAACCTCTGATCTTAAATCTGATATTGCTAATTTACACACAGCTATAAGGGAACAGGAGGAAACTATAGGCATTTACAGAAAAAAAGAATATGAAGAAAATAAGAATATGAAGATGCTAGAAGAATCTATGACTGATTTAAGATCAAAGATAAAGGATATAACTGAGGAAAATAATGATTTGAAAATCGAAATAAATGATCTAAAGGCACAATTAGTGGATTCAAAAGAAATTTATGACGATTTAAAAAAAAAATATGATGAAAAAACTGTACAGGTAAATGATTATTCACAAAAACTTGAAGATCTCCTGACAAAATCACATTCGGAAATCAAAAAACTTGAAGAGAACTTCAATGGAGAAAAATCCAAGTTGATAAAAGATTACAATGGTTTAATGAGTGATTTTGAAAACTTGAAAGATGAAAAAGAAAAATGGAATTTGGAATTGAAGAATATCAAATTAGAACACTCAAATAATATCGAAAAAATTGAAAAAGCCCAACTCTTAATCGTTGAACTTCAGGAAAAAGAAACAAGCCTAAGTCAGGAGGTTTTACTATTGAAAGGAAAAGAAGATAATTTAAAAAAAGAAATCTATGATAAAAATAATGCAATCACTAATCTCAATAATGAAAAGGATTGTTTAAAAAAATTGGTTTCAACTTATGAGTTTGAAGAAAAGATTTTGAACTCTAAACTTCATTCAAAAGAAACGGAAATTTCTGAATTGAAGTCAAATCTTGATCGCCTACATGCACAATTCGAATCCAAAGAAGAAAAATTTGAAAAGGAAATTGAATCAAAGCTTCAAAAAATTCACGATCTTGATTTGACAATTGGTAAATTAAATAGTCAGTACATTCAAGTCAGCAAAGAAAAAGAATCTCTCATTGTCGAAATTGAAAACAAAAAGTCTTTAGAACTCGATTTGAAATCATTACAAATCGATCATGAGTCCTTAAAAGATGAAAAGTTAGAATTAGAAAAAGAATCTATTTTGAAAAATGAAGAAATATCTCAATTGAAGTTCAGTTTGTATTCATACGAAAAAGAAATTAACTCGTTGAAAACAGAAAATCAAAATCAATATAAAACTTTACAGAATAAAATTAAAGAATTAGAAGAAATAAAGTTGTCTTTGAAAAATCTTCAAAATGAAACTTTAGAGAGTAAAATGAAAGAAAAAACTATAATGGACCAATTGGTCCAGCATAATGACATGATCATAAGCCTCGAGCAGAGCCTTGTCTCGGCCGATGCTCAAGTACACGACGCTCAGGTGGAAATATCCTCGTTGAAGGATTCTTTGCTGAAGAAAGATGAACAGATAGAAAGTATCGGTAAAGAAAAGAACTGTTTGAAATTGGACATGGACATAGTTCTTAAAAAAAGTGAAATGTTATCATCTCAATTGGATGCAAAAAATAATGCAATTCAGGAACTCCATAGCAAATTAAATAAGGCTGAAGATGAGATTTCGAAATTGATTTTAAAGAAAACCGACCACGAACAGACTATAGAAAGCCTCTATAACACCCTACAAAGCCAGAATACCGAGATAAATGATAAAAATAAGGAGATAGACATATTACAGAAGGAAATAAAAAATGTCATTCAGCAACTTTCTGATGAAAGGGCTAATCAGAACAATCAAATTGAAAAGTAAGTATTAATCAAAATAACAATTGACTAAATATGAATTTAAATAATTTTAAAAATAACTTAATTAACTCACTCCTTAGGTTGGAAAATGAACCATTACTAAGAATTAAAATTGGGTAAGATTGAAATATTACTGAAAAAGTTATATAATTAGCTAACGATAGTAATAAATTTTTATTCCCATTACTTTTTTGGAGGATTTGGAGGTGGAATGAAGGTGATGATGGAGAAATAAATCTTCACAACTGTTGCTCACCTATTTCAAATAAATAATATATTTGCAGAACTACTAAAAAATATTTCACCTGTACTACTACAACCCATAAAAGATCTTGGGTTGAGTACTTTGTAAGAAAGTACTAGTGTCAGTGTCAGTCTTTGTGGAAGAAGGTGATTTGACTGGGATTACACTCAACCACCAAGTTTTTTGTCTTAATTGATTATTTAGTTATGAGTATCCATTTTATTGAGGTTAGATGTGCTCCGGGAGAGTTGATTCACGGCATGAGTAACTAAATATTACCTACCACAGCCGAACTCAAACCTGGTATGTAGGAGTACAGTGTCTTACACATTAAGCTATGCTTACTCTTATAAATATATATTTGACTCATATGAGAAAGAGCTAGTCGGGGATGCGGTCAAATAAATACTAAATTAAAATATAGTAATTATTTTATTTTAATTTTGCCGTCGTTTCGACCCACTATGCAGTCCAAAAGTTTACCCACTTTTATTGTGATTCTTTTCTTAACACACCTATTCTTCAACTATACACCTTATTATTATCTTCATGTAGCCTACTATTCCATTACCGCTTTCAAAAAACTGAATGTCAATTGTCATCTATATATAGTACAACTTGTTTTTGTTTCTTTATCATCATAACCTTGTTTTACATTTTAAAGTTCTCTTTGAAAATTATTGTTTTCTTATAGAGTTATTTATACTTAATAATCTATCCTAACGATATTACACTAATGTTGCCCTATTAATCTTTCAATTTCTTCACTTCTTAACCTTTAGTCCCATTATCTGTTTACTTATAATTAAAGGTAACCTCCACTTGCTTGTTATCCACTGATATCTTATTATTATGTTATCTTATTCTTATTGTAACATTACTTATTCAATTTTCAATCTATTTATTAGTTAACATTCATTTTCTTTACCTGTTAACCCACAGTTATCTAATGTAATCTCTATTAGTTTGTTATACACTTATTCCTTATCTTTTATCGCAATCTGTTTACTTTTAACTTACATGCTATATTCTCCTTTATTTTTATTTTTATTCATTTTTTATTCATACTTATTTTCCATTTATTTATATCTTCTACATATATAATACTTAATATTTAACTACATTGTCACCCACTATATCTCTGATATCCTCTTTTATTTCTGTATCTGACAACTTCTATAAATAAGTTTTATATCTACTTATATTTAATTTTTATTCTCAACATGTTTTGTATCTTTTGTAGCCCTGAAGACGACAAAGTGGTCGAAACATCGGCAAAATTAAAATAAAATAATTACTATATTTTAATTTAGTATTTATTTGACCGCACCCCCGACTAGCTCCATCTCATATTATATCAACGGTCAACCATCTCTACATCATTATTTGACTCATAATTCTATTTTGGGCAATCTTTTATTCTAAGGGTTGTGAAAATTACCTCATAAGTAAAATGATTTAATTTATATTAGATTTTAGATTAGTTGATAATTTCAACTATTTAGCGAGAAGTTTTGAATACTGTTTTTACCCATTTAATGGGTAATAGAAGTTTGTTTAACGTTATGTAGCTCAGTGAGAAATCAGATAACTGTGCTCCTAAGCTTCAGATTGTAGATTTGAGTATGGCTGTGGCTGGTAATCATTTATTCTGTTAAATCAGCCATGGATCAGTCTTTGAGTCAGAAGATACTTTTTCGATCTCTATAAAATGAGTATGCTTGGTTTAATAATTAATTAAAAAGAAAAACATAGAGGTTGCGTGTGGTCACAGTTGAATCACCTCTTAACACAACCGATGACCAAGAAACAAAACTTCCCTTAGAAAATATTGGACCCAAGCTTCAACATTGGTTGTAATGGTATAGGCTTTAAACATTAGAATATAAATAATAGTCTAGTTCAAAGTAATAAATATTATAAACAAATGTTTCATATAATCCTCAAGATGGTGATAATCCAAATGTTGTCTGTATTAAAGTACTAGTTTTTTGTTCACACAAGTGAAAATAAATCATCTAATATTACTTTCACTTACCTTCATATGAAATATATAGTAAGAAAAAGTATTGGGATCATGAAAATTTTGGAATCTGAATTTTCAAAATGGAAATACATGTTTTGAGGTCCCCTGAGACGAAATAACCAAGTCCCGCAAAATGATCTGTGTGTTTGTTAACTGTCTAGCTCAAAAACGAAAAGTCGTACAAAAGTGAAATTGTATATTTAAGGTTTTTATATACTTGGCATGTTACAGCAACTTTTTCATCAAAATCGGCTTACCGGAAGTGGCACTTTATATCATTGACTAAACACATTTTTACGATTTCCTCGAAAACGGCTCTAAAGATTTTGATTAAATTCATTATATCAGTGTAAAATTAAGCAGTTTTCAATAAAATGTAGGTTTTATTCTGATTGGTGTTCTCTAGCAGAGCTTAAATGGCTAATTTTTAATATTAGCTTTCCCTAAAGTATCTTTAATTTTTTTTTAATATTTAATAGTTGACCGTTGTATTATTAAGGAAGGAGATGGTCCGGGGTGGCGGTCATAAATAGCCAAGGCTTTTAATAAAATAGTTTTGCCACTATTTATGACCGCCATCCTGGACCATCTCCTTCCTTTTTAATTTTTTTTATTATTTATTACCTTTAACATTTAACATTTGACCGTTTCACATTCATTTATAATATAAAAGATAGTTAAGTATAAAATAAGGAAGAATTTGATTATTAACTAAAGGAGAAATAAGAGATTGTAATGGAGAATAGTTGTAATTGAGGAACCAAAGAAATACGAATGCACCCGAGCTCAACCGAAAGATAAAAACATGCTTCCATACGTAACATGATCTTAATATAATAAGTAAATATACATATGTGGTTTTCATAAATGATATTGTTGGTATTATTTAATATTTAATTGTATAGATTAAAGCTATATAAATATTAAAATTTGTATATTATGGGTATTTATATAAATAAAAATACAATGAAATAGAAATCAATATAACATTTATAATTTTTACTTTCACTTTTCCTTGTTCTGAAAATACTTATTTCTGCTAAGAAGAGGGTGATAAGTAAAAGTTGTATGATGTGCACACCGCACCAAATTTCTAAATATTATAATAAGATAATCTTTTGGGTGAGTAAAAACATTGAATTATTTTTCCAATGAAAATTTGCAGATTAAAAGCTGACAATGATGTAAAGGAGTCTACATTGAAGACTCATATTTCGGAATCAGACTACAAAGACCGTTTGGAGCAGGTCAAATCTACTTATGAAAAAAAAGTGCTTGCTTTGAAGGCTGTAATGGTAATTGTTATTAAAAAAAAAACATCTATTTTGAGAATATTTTCTTTTTTACCTAGATTTTTATTTTAGTTTAACTTAATGCAGTTATCCTGCATCCATTTATTTAATATTCCAGAAATCTAAACCGAAAATTGTAGAGTAATTGGTCAGAAAAATGTTTTCAGAAAAGTAATTTTATTGTTGTCTCTATCCTTGAAAGAATGTAAGGGATCATTTTTGGATTATGAAAAAGAAAGAGTTTCAAGAAATAATCTGTAATGAATACAATTATTTTACTTCAATGTACTATCCATTTTTTGATGAATGATGATAATACAGTGAAGTGTTAAAAAAAAGAACCCATTATAACATCATATACCTATTTAATATATATCTTAATTTGCTAAAAAGAATTAAATTTAATAATTCAATACATATATATATATATATATATATATATATATATATATATATATATATATTTTTTTATTAATGGTTGATTGTATGGTTATTATCATTTATACAGTTATTTCTTATTTTTCATTTAAGAAAAAGCAGTTTACTGAGAAATTAGAAGACATTACATTTTCTCTTCAGAATACAAATACCGATCTTAAAGAAAAGGTAAGTGTTAATTAAGTTAATTTTTTTTTTAGTTTTAGTTTATTTTATTTTAATTTTTTATTTGTTTAATACAAAGCTCTTCAAAGAACAAGAGAGGTGTGCAAGATTGCAGTCAGAACTTTGGAACGCCAGCGATAAATTACTGATTGCTCAAGAACAAAATCGAACGTTACTTTCTAACTTTCAGAATCGAAATGCGTACGAAGTACTTAGACCAAGTGAAGTAAGTATTTATTATTTTTTAAGGCATTCATGAAATGCCTTTGGTATAATTTAAATAATTTCATTTAGATCTTTAAGGCGAAAGCTTTTTTTCAGATGATACAAAGAAATAATTTTTTTGAAATAAAATTGTAATAATGTTTTACTAATGTATATTTTTTCAATTTATAGCCTCTCTCCCCAATAAGCAAAGCACGATCTATGGAAGTTTTGTCGTAAGTATACTTTAATGTGTTTTAATTAACTATTAAAATTGTTATTCTTGAATCTAAATAAAATCATTAAAATTTGAGATACATAAATCTTAGCATTTCTATTTGAAGATATTCTTGTAATCAAAATTTATTTTAGTTTATTTTTGCACATTTCTAAAAATGCTATCTGCTCGTTGGCAATTTTCGATGAGTTGTTAAAGAAGTCAGAACTTTTAGTAAAATGTCAGGAATTTGAATAACTGAAATTGGTAGATACCATGTTTGTTTCTACTTCTGTTAGATATTTGACTCTGTCTACTCAATCCTCAGATATTAGAGAGGCATAGCCGAACTGTGCTGTTAGATAATTCATTTGATATTTATTTTAATTTCTAATTTCTTCTAACCACTTTCCTTAAATAGTGCACCTCTGTATTGCATGCAGATTAGGTAAACAAATTAATATAAATATTTTAAAATATACTAAATATTTCATAAAAGTTTCACATACTATGTATATCTGTGCTATGACTCCACAATCCAACAGCACCATTGTTCCCATATTTGTCAGGTTATAGTGATTCAATGTATAAGTGTTGAAAAGTATATTTTTGTTTATATGGTATTGTTTTTAGATAATATGTAATTATTTTTAAATCAGGTCCATATTGAAAGTATAATTATTTCAGCGGACGAAACAGAGGCATTGATAACTTTGCCCGAGACATCAGCCTGAATGAGTCTGGATCTAGTCGGAGGTCATCCATCAGGAGCCTCCCGAGGGGAATGGGTAAAAAGTTCTCTTTCTCTGCTGGTTTGTTCTTAACATCATTAACAGTTCTATTTTATTTTCTTTCTTATAAAAATGTTTCTATACATTTTATTTTTTCTTTCTTTTTGTTATTATTTATATTCGTGTGTTCAGTATTTATGGCTATTCTGTTTAATTAGGGCAGGTTTGAAATATTTAATTCTTCAAAAAAAAAAAGAGATAACTTTGAGCTACTTTACTTACTTGCATGTTAACTTCTTATCTCTATAATTTTATAATTATCTCTTTTGTTTTGAGTTTTATTCCTGTCGTAATAGCAATGCCCTCTTAATAGGCCTATTTAGTTGGCACTGCTTGGCAGTATGAAGCGGCAGGTATGACATATACAGACTACTTCTTTCTAACGACTCCTAAAGCTGGCAATATGACAGTACTAGTTAATGTTAACAAATTGGAGGAAAGTTTTAATGATAATAGTCATCTTGCTACATTTCATTTTCTTTTTTTCATCAAGCTAAACAAAATTAATTGCAAAATTGTTCAAATTTAAATAATTAAAATTTTTGTGGAGAGAGGCTGGTCAGGTGTGGCAGTCATAAAAACTTAAAATATTGAAAAATTATTTCATTTAAGCCAAAGTTTTGACCCAACTATGTAAGCTTTCATCAGTCTTTGACCGAACAAGATACAGAGCCTAAAGAAAGTTGTAGGAGTTACAAGATATTTCGACAACAAATTATAAGCATAGTAAATGAAGTATGAATGTAAAGTAATGAATCATTTTTGTAGGCTTAAATTAGCAAGAATATTTTATTGAGTGATTTAATTATATCGAAATATGAACATAGAAAAATCAATTCTTTTTTTTTTTTTTTTTTTATGAAAGTGCTGATTTATTAATTACCAATTACCTAATGACCATACCAGTATTAGGTAATAAATTTAAAGTCAAATATATGCCATTAATTGTTCAATTAATATTTTTTCATATTTTATCTGTCATAAGGCTATTCAAAATATAAGAAATCATTTCTTTGATGAAGGCGGGCAGGTTAACATTTCATTGTGCATACACAACTTAACCTCATTATTCAGCCGCTACAGTGAGAAGTTTTAGCGAATACCCAAGCATAAAAAATTGGTAATAACAGACGGCAGTTGTAGTGGGCAGTTCCAGCAAAATAGTGTCTTTAGCAAACGTACACTCGCACTTGTAGATTTATTTTTCAAACATTTTAGAAACGGCTATAGTCACATCCAAAGTAGAATATTTATATTGGGTTGCCAAATAAGTCCTTTCAGTTTTTCAGGATGAAATAAAACTCAATGTATTATAGACATAAAATTTATTTTACTGTACAATATATTGACCATTATTTAATATGACTTTTTCCCACTAACTGCATAATGCCATGCTCATATAATGTTGGGGGTTTATTTTTAAAATACTGATTCAAGTGGTTTTTGATGTCCTCTTCCTTTTAGAATTTCTTTCCATTGATGGAATTCTGCAGAGACCGGAATATGCAGTAGTAACTTGGAGCTAGGTCTGGTGAATAGGGAGGGTGGAATAAAGGTTCCATCCAAGGCTCAATAATTTATTGCGAGTGACCAATGAGGTGTAGGAAGCGTTATCTTGGTGGAACACAACACCGTTCCTGTTTGCCAGTTCTGGCCATTTATTTTTAATTGAATGATCCAATTTTGTTAATTGTGAGCAGTATAGAGTTGAATCAATTGTTTGTCCTGATGGCAATAGCTCATAGAAAATAACACCCTTGAAATCCCACCATATGGAAAGCATTATCTTCTTTGGATGCAATCCGGGTTTGACATTCTTTTAGGTGCCTCACTAGTAGGTCCCCAAGATTTTCTATGGACTACATTATTGTTTTGTTGCTGTTTGCATAGTGAAACACGAACAGAAATGCATGTTGCCAAGTAGAGAGTGAGGGACCCTAGAAACATAACAAGCTTGTGCAAATGGTTTTCTACACTGTGTGCTACACATTTAGGGCCATAGCAATCTCTCGCACTGTTTGAATGGAATTTTGATCGACAACAATTTGCTCGTTTCAATTTCATGTGGATGACTATACAGTTGATTGAGCATCATTGATGTCAAAATTTCCTGAATGAAATTTGGGAAACCAATTTTTACGGGTGCGTTTGGTTAAGGCATCATCCCCATAAACACTGCAAATTTTTCTATGAGATTCTGCAGCACGCTTACCTTTTTTAAAATAATACAACAAAATGCCGATAATGAATGATATTTTCTTCCATATTCACTGTGCATTAGCAACCACAATACTAAACTAGTTTCAACTAGAGTTAACATATATAATTGTTGATATATTACAAACAGGATAAACAATCCACCTTAGGGATTAATTCATCAGATAAGAAGTGTATCATAGTGACATAAAAATAACCATTAAAACCGAAAAGACTTATTTGCCAATTGAATATAAAGGATTTTTATTGATTTAAAATATTAAAAAATGGTCTTGCATTTAATAAAAAGTATAGTTAAATTTGCAGACATGTTTTTTTATTAAACCGGTAAGGCTTTGCTACCTATATCCATCTTGATTTCAATTTTAGTACTAGTTAACACGTGATACATTTGCTTGACTCAAGATCAAATCGATCATATTTATGCTGAAATTTAATAGTCTTGTGTAGGGATGTAGGTAAAATATTGATATAGCAGAATGGTGATATTTTTATTAAAAAATATTTATATCGAGAATTAGGTCCATTAGTTTCTTTTATATGTATTGTAACATCAATCTTAAAATTGGACTATTGAAAACTAATATTAAAAAAAAAATTAATAAATAAACTAAAAGTAAGAATGTCTACAAGAAAGTTACCTCACTAGTGAGCTCATTAAACACGATAGCTGAGAAATATTGTTCGTTTTTTTTAATCTTATTAATCTTTTTTTTTTAGTAATCTAAATGTCGATTTTGATTATTTTTTTTTATTTTAAAAACTTTGATATGTGTTTAGTAATTTATTCAATACTGATTTTTTGTCTAGTTCCTAGTAATATGCTATATTCTATTACAAGTTTAAGACTTCAATCTTAACCCTCATCTTATTTTTAATGAATCAAAACATCGAGGTCCGAAGTATCAATATTTACATCATCCCTATTCTTGCTCAACCCTATTATATGAAGATATCAATATTTTTTAAATATATATATAGTATATTATTTTATATAAATATGTATTATAACTCCCGGTTGAGGTTTCAAGCAAACCCCTAAGAGATCCATCATCTCTGTATATTTTGGGACACACTCGCGTGCCTTTTGTATTCTTTATACAGGGTAATAAATGTGACTTTTATTCACAATGTATCGGTGATTTATTCCACAATTTTTCTCAGATCCAATATAAGCATATTCAGAACCCGTTTTAGCTAGTCTTTCTGCTTCTTCATTTCTTTCTTCTTATTTGTATTACTCTACCTTGTTTATATTGACTCTTTCTATTGCTAAAAATACTTGTTGGTATTGTTAACATTTTTTTTTTTCAACAAATCATGTTTATTTACTAATTTCATATTAAAAAAAAAAAATATATATATATTCTATCTATTAACCTTTACATGTTTTTTTCTGCATGGAAAATAATATTTTATTTTTAATTTACATGTTTTAAAATATTTTTTGAATTGTAATCAGGTACTTCACAATCTGCTAAAAGTGTGATAAAACATAGGCCGTATTAATACTGTGGTTTGTTACTGTCGGAAAGAAAAGTTTTCAAAACAAATTAAAATTAATCTATGGAATTAGCATTGCTTGATGAACTTCAACGTTATTTTATTGCATTTTTTTTCAAATTTGTATAGCTGAACTACTCTTACTCATAAAAGCAAAAATTTCGATACGAAGAGCTTTTTTTTTAAATTCTACTATAACTATACAGCTCAGAGAGAGTAAGCTAATTGGCTTTAAAAAAAATGTTTATTCCAAATCTTGAGAATAGTAAAGATTTTAATGAAAACAAAAAAATCATACAAATATAATTTTATAGCAGTTACTTATGTTTATCAAAATTGATCTTCAGAAACTTTTTCTGTTTTATAATGTACATATGCTTCAAAGAAATATTTTCAAAAATATTTGTGCACACTTTTATATTTTATTTTTTTAAAGAAAATTGCTTCATAAATTCTTGCCCTCCAGTTTCAACTCAAATAATATTTTAATAGAGGGACATTTAAGATAAAAACAGTTTTGAAATACATTATTTGTTATATTTTTCTTTTAATTAAAGATGCCAAACGTTCTACAATTTCTAAGATTTTATCGCAAATATTGCTTTAAACAGTATTTTTTAAGTTAGCGAACTAAAATAAAACTTCTTGGGATTTTTTCAACTTTGAAGATTAATTTTTCCTACCATGCAATTCCGTGCTAGATGGTGTGGTTTGTGAGAAGTAGAAACCGGTGAATTTTAACGGCTCCGTTCTGCCTTCAGTACAGATGTGACTGAGCGGGTTGTACATTTGTCTGTTGCACAATGCATAATAAAATGTTTTTAATTAATGAAAGCATTAATTCTCAGAAATTTTCTTTCATTTGGCACAGTTGAAAGATCTTAATAGAAGTGAAGAAACATAAAAGTCACAGATTCATTGTTTTTGGTAACTATTGATATCATGAATCAAACAAAGCAAAAATCTGAAAATATTCTCTTTGTTCGGATGAATGACTGCTCTTTATACTGAATACTGACTGTATCACCTGTTTATTGCAAAAAGTCATTGATGAATTTTCCTACTGTGAAGTCATAAAATCTTTCAGATTTTGTTACTAAAACTTCATCTCCATCAAAAATGTATATAATGACTTTGTAACAAACTGACAATATGATTAATTTTAATGCAATTAAATTGTTTATTCATTGTTTAATAGGTTATATATATATTGCTGCTTGTATAAAAATCAGACTTTTTTTTCACAATATTTAAATATGAACTATGTAACAATAGGAAAAGTGTTCCCAGCTGCAGAAGAAGATGGAGAAGTGTTTGATAATAGGTATCTCGCTGATCTGAAAGCTGGAAGATGTGATTTACAGTACGACCCCAATCGCATGTCAACGTTGCAATATAGGAATTCTCTGTGTCCTCCACATTTGAAGTCTTCCTACCCGGCCGAAACTCAGTTCATCAACACAATAAAAGAAGATGATATAAAGGTAATAATAATTAGGTTTAGTACATGCAAAGGTCTGCCCCCATTTTCTATTCCATCAAAACCTGAATGGAAGTGATCAGTCTTAACTAATCTTTGAATCTGCATCTAAATCTATCCTTCTAGATGTTTAATAAATTCAGCAATCACCAGTTTGTGATAATTGCCTTTATATTTATTCATTCCTCTTTTAAGCCCTTCAATTCATTTTTGTATTTTGATCCCTACTACTATATTTACTGTGGGCATAGAAATAAAAGGATAACTACCCATACTTCAAAGCTTTCGTGTAAGGGTGGAAAGAATTATTGGGGGTTGATCAGTTCAACCTCGACTAATCAAGAAGAGGAAGAACGAAGAAAGAGATCAAGTGGAAGGATTATTTGCTGCTTCTTCCAAAAATCTGTAGTGCTAAGAGGCAAGGAAAGATGATAATAAAATAAATAAAAGTGGGCATAAAAATAAAAAAAACAAAAACATATAATAAGACCTTTGATTCATAATTTTGTAAGGAAAATACTCAATCAGGTTTTTTTTTTCCTTAATTAATTATTTCATTAAGAGCCCCCACTATAGGCTGGGTGTGCACACCAGAAAGGTCACCTGATCTTAGACCCTAATCCAGAGCATATTTGTTTGTGTTTATTAATCTTTAATTTAAGGAAACTAAGCAAGGCTTCTCACTCAGATCATCATAATTTGTGCAATTTTTTTATTTGTTGAAATTTGGAGATTGAGGAGGTATTAGAATATATACCAGAAGCTATCGACCATCTCACTTAACAGAAGGACTTACAGCTAATAACCATTTAAAATTCTAAATAAACCTCATCTGAACTCACAACTTTGGTCAGTTGGTTGATAGCTGTTGCTTTATATACAAAAATTGAGGCAGCTATTTCAATGCAAATACACTTTCAATTCCGTGCTCATTACCAACCATTTATTTTATCATTTATTAATTTATCTACATGAGATGTTTATGAAATACACAATGCTCTTTCAAATTAAATATAATTAAATTCTTCAAGAAATGCATCTATTATGATTTATTGAGGGAAAAAAGAAGGCTTGTGAGATGCATAAATAATCAACTAACTATAACTCCTCACTCATTGAACCTGCATTAAAAATATATGAAATTATACTAAATTTTCTTTTCTTTGATTTTGTGTAGAATAATATTTTTGATAAAATCTATAGTTTCGGAGTCATGCCCATAAAACTGATAAAGAGGCTAAAATTATGCTGTTTTATATATATACATATATATATATATATATATATATATATATATATATATGTATATATAACTAGTAATGTATAATAATAATAGTAATATATAATAAGTACTCATATATATATGAGAATGCAATACAAAATTTTACTTGCGAATTACAAAGAATTACAAATTTAGATTCAGCATCACAAAAAAACATATATAACCACAGAGAAACTGACTAATTGAATTGTTTTTTTTTTTTATGCCTCGAATAATTCAAGGAGATCCTGAGATTGTTTTTACACAATCTGAGCCCAAAAATGTCTCAAATTATTCGGAGATTATGTGAGACTTGAAACAATTTGGATCGATTTGATTTCCCAATTTCTGATTGGGTTTTTAAAAAGGAAAATATATTTTATATATATATATATTTTAAATGATTCAAGTATTTAATGATCAGTTAGTTATCTATTTTTTTGTGTGTGTGTTAAATAATCAAAAGTTTTGATTTAAAGTAATGAGATACATCATCCTAAAAATCATTATTTTAAATCCATAGGACAAACCTGGCTCGTCCCCCATTTTTCCTGATAAAGATAATGAAAATACTCCCGTTCAAGTATGTTTGAAAAGTTAACTTCTCTCTAGTATAATTATTAGTAAAATTATTTTACCTTCAAACCACTTCAGTTTATTTAGGAAGTTATCTTCGTTTGTTTATTCATTTGTGTAATAATTCAAAATTAAGTGTTTTTAAGGGATAAGATTAATTATATCCTAAAAGTCATTATTTTGAATCCGTAGGATCAATCTGGAGCGTTACCCATTTTGCCTGATAAAGACAATGAAAACACTCCTCCCATTCAAGTATGTTTTGAAAAGTCAACTTCTCTCTAATATCATTATTAGTAAAATTATTTTACCTTCAAACCAACTTGAGTTTATTAAAGAAGTAATCTTAATTTATTCATTCATTTATTAAATAATTCAAAATTAAGTTTTTTTTAAGGGGTAAGATTAATTATATCCTAAAAGTCATTTTAAATCCGTAGGATCAACCTGAAGCGTCAGCCATTTCACCTGATAAAGATAATGAAAATACTCCTCCCATTCAAGTATGTTTTGAAAAGTAAACTTCTCTCTAATATCATTATTAGTAAAATTATTTTACCTTCAAACCAATTGAATTTATTAAGGAAGTAATCTTAATTTATTTATTCATTTATTAAATAATTCAAACTTAAGTTTTTTTAAGGGATAAGATTAATTATATCTTAAAAGTCATTATTTTAAATCTAGGATCAACCTGAAGCATCAGCCATTTTGCCTGATAAAGATAATGAAAATACTCCTCCCATTCAAGTATGTTTTGAAAATTTAACTTCTCTCTAGTATAATTATTAGTAAAATTATTTTACCTTCAAACCAATTGAATTTATTAAGGAAGTAATCTTAATTTATTTATTCATTTATTAAATAATTCAAACTTAAGTTTTTTTAAGGGATAAGATTAATTATATCCTAAAAGTCATTATTTTAAATCTAGGATCAACCTGAAGCATCAGCCATTTTGCCTGATAAAGATAATGAAAATACTCTTTCCATTCAAGTATGTTTTTGAAAAGTAATTTTCCCTCTAATATAATTATTAGTAAAATTATGCTACCTTCAAACCAACTTGAGTTTATTATGGAAGTAATCTTAATTTTTTCTTTTATATCTTAAATAATTAAAAATTAAGCCTTTTGTTTTAAAGGAATACAATTTTTTAATTCCTAAAAGTCATCATTTTAAACCCGTAGGAACAACCTGAAGCGTCACCCATTTTCACTGATAAAGACAATGAAAATGCTCCCATTCAAGTATGTTTCTTAAGTCATCATTATTAGTAAAATTATGCTACTTTCAAACCAACTTGAGTTTATTAAGGAAGTAATCATAATTTGTTCTTTTATTTGTTAAATAATTAAAAATTAAGCCTTTTGTTTTAAAGGAATACAATTTTTTAATTCCTAAAAGTCATCATTTTAAATCCGTAGGAACAACCTGAAGCGTCACCCATTTTTACTGATAAAGACAATGAAAATGCTCCCATTCAAGTATGTTTCTTAAGTCATCATTATTAGTAAAATTATGCTATTTTCGAACCAACTTCATTTAATTGAGGAAGTAATCTTAATTTGTTCTTTTATTTGTTAAATAATTCAAAATTAAACCTTTTGTTTTAAGAGAGTAAGATTTTTTAAATCCTAAAAGTAATCTTTTTAAATCCATAGGAACGACCTGGCGCGTCACCCATTTTCACCGATAAAGTCAATGAAAATACTCCTTCCATTCAAGTATGTTTTGAAAAGTTATCTTTCTTCTAGTAAAATTATTAGTAAAGTTATTCATTCTACCTTAACCAATTTGAGTTCAGTAAAAGAGTAGTCTTAATTTTTTTTATGTGTTAAATAAGTCAAAATTTAGTGGTTTGATTTAACAAAATAAGATTTTTTAAATCCTAAAATTTATTATTTTAAATCCATAGAAACAACCTGGCGCGTCACCCATTTTCACCGATAAAGGCAAAGAAAATACTCCTTCCATTCAAGTATGTTTTGAAGTTATCTTTCTTCTAGTAAAATTATTCATTCTACCTTAACCAATTTGAGTTTAGTAAAAGAGTAGTCTTAATTTTTTTTAATGTGTTAAATAAGTCAAAATGTAGTGGTTTGATTTAACGAAATAAGATTTTTTAAATTCTAAAAGTAATCATTTTAAATCCGTGGGAACAACCTGCGGTGTCACCCATTTTCACCGATAAAGTTATCTTTCTTCTAGTAAAATTATTAGTAAAGTTATTCATTCTACCTTAACCAATTTGAGTTCAGTAAAAGAGTAGTCTTAATTTTTTTTATGTGTTAAATAAGTCAAAATTTAGTGGTTTGATTTAACAAAATAAGATTTTTTAAATCCTAAAATTTATTATTTTAAATCCATAGAAACAACCTTGCACGTCACCCATTTTCACCGATAAAGGCAAAGAAAATACTCCTTCCATTCAAGTATGTTTTGAAGTTATCTTTCTTCTAGTAAAATTATTCATTCTACCTTAACCAATTTGAGTTTAGTAAAAGAGTAGTCTTAATTTTTTTTAATGTGTTAAATAAGTCAAAATGTAGTGGTTTGATTTAACGAAATAAGATTTTTTAAATCCTAAAATTTATTATTTTAAATCCATAGAAACAACCTTGCACGTCACCCATTTTCACCGTTAAAGATAATGAAAATGCTTCCATTCAAGTATGTTTCTTAAGTTATCTTCTCTATAGTATCATTATTATTAAAATTAGGCTACTTTCAAACCAACTTCAGTTAATTGAGGAAGTAATCTTAATTTGTTCTTTTATTTGTTAAATAATTCAAAATTAAGCCTTTTGTTTTAAAGGAATAAGATTTTTTATATCCTAAAAGTCATTATTTTAAATCCATAGGAACAACCTGGCAAATCACCCATTTTTCCTGATAAAGATAATGAAAATGCTCCCATTCAAGTATGCTTTGTAAAGTTATCTTCCCTCTAGTATAATTACCTTAGCAGTACCTTCAAACAGGAAAATTGTTTAATTCGGGATTTGTTTTTTTATTAGTACATAAATATTTTTTCAAATTCGAAATAAATAGTGGATATCGTTTATGACAACTTCGAAAGGGTATAATTCATCGTTATAAATGACCATGGTCGCTATATTCATTCACCTTTGACTGTCCGGCACTGGCTGTTTAAAATTTAAGCAAAATGGAATTAAAACATTGATTTTATGAAAAGAAAAATGCATCAATAGTATTTACTATTTTTAATACATACATCTATGGATATAATAATTTATTTTTATAAAGTAATGAACTTCTTAGCGGTAATTCCATCTATAGATAAACATCCATTAAAACATTTTTTGATCTTAAAATTTATAATTCGGTCGAGTATTAATTTCTTCAAAAAATTGTGTTTCACAGCGTTGAATATGTCTGCATCATGATAATTCTCACTAATTGTTGACTAAACCTGATTCCATTTATTGGTTAGAGATGACTAAAGAGAACACTGGCAGCCTCACAGTTAATTTTTTTAATAACAGTATTGTGTGGGGAGCAAAATCTTTGTATCCATCCTCACAAAATATTAGTTTGAGGTTTATCAAATTGATTTTAAATATTCGTTAGTCGTTTCGAGTAGCTATGGTGGTACAATGCTGGCAAGTACTCATTCATTCGATCCGGTGACGCTCCTTAAGAAAGCATTTGTTAATCAGAAATGTCACAGTTGGTGTCGTGTGGATGTTTATTACACTGTTTATAGTAATAAAGCAACTAAATTACTTATGAGAAAATACATTAATATTAGAATCCCCCATAGCTCACCTTATTTTTAATAAGGTATTGAAATATGGATTAAACATTTTTAATATTAGTGTCCTCAGACATATTGGTCAGGGAAATCTATCATTAAATAGGGAAATTTCAGAGAATTTTACTTTAACTGTCTCGTAGCCACCTTGTTCAAACTAACTTGAATTTATTAAGAAATTAATCGTAATTTGTTTCTTTATTTGTTAAATAATTCAAAATTAAGTGTTTAGATTTAAAGGAATAAGATTTTTTGTATCCTAAAAGTCATTATTTTAAATCCATAGGAACAACCAGGCTCGTTACCCATTTTTACTGATAAAGATAATGAAAATGCTCCCATTCAAGTATGTTTCTTAAATTATCTTCCCTCTAGTATAATTTTTAATGCCCAAATCTACGCTTTTTTTTTTTTTTTTTTCTCACTATTTTACCTTTTGAATGTTAGTTGAATAACTGTTTATTTAATTTTTGTAATAAGCCAGGGGATAATTGTCTTCAAAATGTATTTGATTGTATATTATTTAAACATTGTGCTTAATATGTATACGTTTTGTAAATTTAATTTTAATGGGGGCGGAATGGGTAGAGTAGTCAGGTCTAAAACCAGATTGATGGCAGTTCAGAAGGTTATTTCGTTTGAGATAGTGGGATAATTGGGTTTGAACTGATTGTTGTAGTGGTTTGAAAAGGTTAGATCATATTGCAATTAACATTAAGTGTTTTGATTTAAAGGAGTAAGATTTGTTAAATCCTAAAAGTCATTATTTTAAATCCATAGGACCAGTCTGACTCATCACACATTTAATCTGATAAAGATAATGAAAATACCCATATTTAAGTTTTTTTTGAAAAGTTATCTTCCTTCCCTTTAGTATGATTAATAGTAAAACTATTCTACCTTCAAACCAACTTGAGTTTAATAAGAAAGTAATATTTCCATTTTTTTTTAAATATCTTTAAATGTAATTACGTATTTTTGAGTTGACATCCCAACTGGAAATCAAACTTAAACTAGTTTGATTTGTGTCATTCATTACTTGGTTTATTATTTCTACTATATTTTTTTTAATATATAAAAAAATATATATTCATTGAATATTTAATTTGAAATTCCTTTGTTGCTTGTATCATGTTACTGTTAGTTTTAACCAGCCTGAAGACTGTTTTATTTCTCGTTAGGTACTTTTTATTTTTATTACAAAATTTTTAATTTTCAAAATTTATTATTTTTATTTATTTTTCTGTTAAAGGTTTGTTCAAAATTTATTAAAATTAATAGAAAATAAATGCCATATTACTACTTATTTTAAAATGTTTACTGGAAAAAATCCAGTCTCTGGTTTTCAGCAACAGTGTTTCATTTATTTGTTTCTTGATAAAGGTACCTTTAAACATGTCTGAAATGGCTTGTTTTGGACTGGCTGTGCTTGTAGTTTGAGACTTCTGGTTTAAAACAATAAATGTGACACCTTATTGTCGTACCATAGCTTTCATCCTTTATTTCATGTTTAGATCCCTCCAATCGATTTCTTGTCCCGTGCTTTATGCATCTAGTGGACATAAGTAAAAAAAATAAGTTTGTTGACTGTTTAATTAGCTTAGCAGGTGGTAAGTAGTAAGTTAAAATGATTAATAGGATTACAAACTGAAAAGAAATGTTCATAATATAATTGTAATTTAAGTTGTCAAAGTTGAAAAGTGTATGTATTTTTATAAAAAATTGATTATGATTTTTTTTTTTAAATTTAGACTGGTTCCAACTCAGCATCAGTGACTTCAGAAAATGACGTGAGGAGGGTAAAAATTCAAGTATGTCATGATGATTTATCTTCTCTGTAGTTTTATTTCACATTTATATTCACAGTTGCATTACAAATATTTTTATTTTTATATATTTCTTCTGCACCATAGATAGATATTGTAAACTTGTTTTTATTAGTTTTTACACTAACTTGTAGATAATTGTTAGTACTAATTATGTTTCTGTTTTAAGTACAGTAGAATCCGAATAATATATTTTAAAAGGATGGAGGCCGAATGAGCTTTACTAGAATCAGAATTTATTTCATATTTAATGTTTTATTTTTTATAATAACTAAGGAGTACACCCTGTCCGCCTAATGGCGGACCGACCCCCATCTTACAAACTATACAACTGTTCATTTAATTGCGCTACTCATTGCTCAAATTGTATAACTGTAATTTCCATGTATTCTGTATTTAAAATTGTATTAATTTTTATCAACACAAAATAAAGTGAACGAAACCACAGCTCAGATAAATTTTTTATTTCTTTAAAATCTACATTATTATATAATTATAATTATTCTTATATTCAACTTGTCCAGCTTCAAGTAAACCCAACATCAATTTAAGCCTTTTATTTCTAATATTTTCATTGTCTGTTATATTGTCTTTCTTTTTATATTTCATAATAGTTGTAATTAATTATATCACAATATAATATAAATAATATTATATTATATAGGACCCAAAAGTAACAGGAATTGGGCTGCGATAGGGAAGGAGTGTGGGGGAACCCATTGTTCGACCCAGTGTCCGTTAAAGACACATCTCCGAATTAGTGTGCGAAGTTGTGTCGCTGTGAGTGCATCGGTACGCCTATCAGAATTTTTTTACTTAACAACTTTCATTTTCGCCAAATTTTTCAATTGTTGAGAGATTATTTCGGAGTTGTATCCATAACACCACAATTCATCATCAGTAATCACCTTCGGAAAAAATTCAGGGTCCTCTTTGAGCTGATTTTGAAGCTCAAAACATGTCTGAAGTTGACGCTCTCTTTGCTCGTCTGTGAGGAGGCGAGTGACAAATTTGGGTGCAACTTTTCTCATGTGCAAATCCTCTTGATGGAACTCCATGATACTCCAGACATCTCACAGAGTTGATCAATGGTTCAGGAATGGTCTGCACGAACGAGAACATTGATTTTGTCGATATTTTCGTCACTTCTTGATATTGATGGGCGTACTCCACGGGGTTGTTTTACAATTGACATTTCTCCATTTTTAAAACTTTCAAACCACTTTTAGACGCTGGTTTTACTTAGAGTAGCATCCCCATAAGCAGTTTTAAGCATTACAATAGTTTCCGCAGCTGATTCTTCAACAGGATGCAAAATTTCACAGCCACGTGTTGCTCTCAACAATCGGCCATCACATTTTTTTGGCAAAATGTAAAAGGTTTTTTTTTTATATAATTATTTTTCTTCGAACTTCAGTTTATCTAATTATCTGGTTGCCGGGCAACAATTGTTTTGCACACGCATTAGTCCACTTTACCATGTCGCTCCCCATTAAATGAGCAGTTGTATATTTTCTAAAATAATCGCCACTGCAGAGCAGCAGTATCGAGCCTAGAGGACTGGGCTGAAAAGTTGAACTCCTGTAATCTCCTATTCCCCTGTACTACAATAAAATAAAATATGAAAGTCACGAAAAATCTATTTACATAATAGAGAAATTTTCTTTATAATCTAGGTTGTTTATTTTTTTCAAATTCAGTTATGTAGTTGTTCAACTTACTTCATACCGCAAGATTACAGTTCAAAAGCCAAGTCTAATTTTTTTTTTTTTTTTTGTAGAAAACTCTTAGTCATTCACTATTATAATGCCAATCCTCAGCATTCAATTCAATCTAATTTGTCAACTTAAAGTAAGGGTATTTTAAAATATTTATGGTTTAAAGTTTTCTTCAAATATGACACAAAATTTTGACTCGGCTCTTTTCCTATCATATTTATTAAACATTACACATCCATAACAGTCATTCTTGGGGATGCTCGTTCCTCCACAAGGTCGACGGAGCATGCTTTCCTTCTCCAAGGAATTATATAGCTCTGCTCTCATTAAAAACAGTGTTAGTTAAAGTAAAATTAGAAATTGTAGTTGATATACAATCACACTTGCTGTGGTCAGTTCCAACATTTTAAAGTCCTTCCAAGTTGAAATTCCTCAGAAATATAGTCCCCTCTAAAAATTCATGACCCCTGTCAAAAGTTGTTCTTCCTCCAAAATTTAATATATTTTTTTCGACCATAAGTTTTTAAAATTTATTTTATTTTTTTTAAATAGCAGGATTCTATTGTACTTGAGTTTGTTTTTAATGATTGTTCGTAGATTGTGTGAGTTGTTTGAACATTTTTTTTTAGAGCTCCTATAAAAAACCCGGGCCTCCAACGCCCAGTAAAAACGGAGGGAGACTGTCACAGGTTTGTTTTGTAAAAAAAAATTATTTTGCATGCTTTATCTGCTTTGCCTGTATTGTCTCACTTACCACTGGTATTTTGTAATTTAAGATAGATAGCTGTCTTATAAAGTATTTATTGATTAGTCAGTATTGAGTATATGTTTATGATTAATCTTATATATATATATATATTAGTAAGTCTCTATTAATTAAATATATAAAATATTTCCATTTAAAGGTGTTAACAACTACCATCCCAACATAAATTGAATATTAATGTTTATTTTTACCTAACTTAGATTGAGTTGAGGTTGAACATTGACTGGATTGATTTTAAGTTTAAATTTAAATTTCTTCCTCTAAAGTAACTTTAAATTCCTTTATTTGAAATAATTATGTCTATTTTAGTTTGCATGAAGCTCCTGCTTTTGATATTTCATTGTTGGTTACTTTTAGCATGATTTATTCAATGGTTATATTATATAAATTTATCTCATAAAATAAATATAAATGTATTTATAGCCTTTATGGATTTGGTTTACATATTCTAGGTTTGGAGGAGAGATTATGCGTTATTGTAGCCATACATTATAGAACAAAAAACAAAACTAATCTTTTTCATTTGAAATGAAATGAAAAATAATTTTATTCTGGGACTAAAGTCTCCTTAAAATAACAGCAGAGTTAAAACAATATATACATGAGTCTGGCATGTTGTTATAATAGAAATATATGCAAAGAATCCTGAGAAAAATATAATTATATACAAGAAATAAAAGTAAAATGGCTCTTATCAATTAACTGTTGGCAAGCAATTATAATTACATGACCTAAAAATTCTAGCTTGCAGAAGTTTGAATGTGTAATTGGTGAAGGAATAGGAGTTGTTTGAAGGAATTTGTGGACGTGGTTTGACATATGGAAATAGGTAATGAGTTCCAAAAGGAGGTAGTACGAATGGTGAAGGATTTGCTGAAGAAAGTGGTTTTATGGAATAGGATTTATAAATCTATAGGTTGAGATCTGGTATTAAGAGAGTGGATAGAGGAGCGTAGAGTAAGGAGGATTTTTGGTTCTGAGGACTTGGTAAAGGGAAGGAATTACCATCGGAAAGCATGTATATGTATGTTTGTCGGAAAGTAATATCGTTTGATGTTATAGGCCGAAGAAAATCAGGATTGGGTGCTTCTTTATTCCAAGTGTACTACTGTATATCTTGTTAATGTTCAAAGCAACATTATAGAAAAATAAAATTTTCTAGTCATTTTATTTATCTTTGATGCTGATATTTTGTCTTCAAGAGCCATTTTCATGTTTAAACTATGATATATCTTCACTACATTTATCTTATTTTTAAAGCCAGTTATCTATAAAGAGCCAGGTAAATCGAAGACGAGGACTCAACAAACCCATAATCTCAATTTTTTACATCACTACAACCATTATTACCATGCTGCTTTTAAAAATCAATTCATTCATTATAATTTTAGTTTTAGTATCAGAAGTCGTATTTAAGTCATTTTATAATTTTAGTTATTCTGATTTTGGCAGATTGAAATACATGAAAATGTTATTGTCAAGTTGGAAGCTTATATCATCATATTAGAAATCGGCTTTACCATCTATTGGCTGTGACTGTTTGAAAATATTTTATAAAATACTAAAGAAAACTACAATAATTTTGTATGGCATCTCATCTGTGTTGAGTTGCTAAATCATACAGCATACTTATCAGTCCAAGAGATTTTATTTTAAATAAAAACATTTTTATTGGCTATTTATAATCTCCCATAAATAGTAGGCTCTTTTACATACAGTTCATTCTTAAACATATTTCATTTAAATCCTTACCTTTAAATCTTAAAAGAAAATCATTAAACTCAATATAGTTGTTGTTACGTTAATTTGCAACTTTTTTAAATTTCTTTTTCTTCATAAATTTTTGATCTTGGCTACTAGTTAAGATTGTTATCTTAATGTCATTTCTGAAGGTTTAGGTATTTTAAAAATATATTGAAATGCAGGCAAATTATTTATTTCAATTTTATCATGAAAATTGCCCATAATCTGAAAATGACATATATATTTTCATATAGTTACACACACACCTACACATATATATTATTTTTTTATAATATTAGCGTTAATATCAATGGGACCCCAAGACGTTCTCGTACTTCTCACTATTACGCTAGGTTCTTCCACTCCATCTGAAGACAATTACTAGGCACGCTCCTTTACCAAATAATCAACAATAATTGGCTGTTCTTTCCCTGCCATCTCTTCTAATTCAAGTCCTCTAGCCTCTCCCTCTCCACAAGATTTCGACCCTTTGACTTTTATATATCTTTCCATAGACCTGCATAATTCCAAAACTCCTATGCTCCACCACTTTTTGGAATTCTCTTCCTCTTATAATCCTCCATGCCTCCTCCTTATCCATATTTAAAGCTCTTTTTCAGTTCCTCTTCACAAATCAATCAGATGCTGGTTATTTAAACTTGATTTTTCTATTCTATATTAAATGTAAAATAAAAATGGTAACTTTTAATATTGTTTTTTTATTTAAGTGAAAAATTAATTGTTATTTTATTGTCTAGGGTAATGATAAGCCTTGTCCGCCCACTCCACACATGGGACAATCTTCTTACTCATTGCAGAAGGAGCAGGTACTTTTATCTTCCCTTATCCATTATACATTTTGTTTCATACTGGACATTGAGCTATACATGATTAAATGATAATTTTGTAGCAGTTGAACGATACGATGGTTCTCCAGGAAGCAAATACGAATGTGAAGAAAGATACTTTGACTAAGCCAATAAAACCATCCACACCCAGCCGATTGAAAGCCCTCTTCACTCATAAAAAAGATGAGGTGACTATTTTATTTACCATTTAAATCACTATTTAATATGAATTATAATTTATTTGGTTTTAATTTACATTAATTTTACTAGCAGTTCTAATTGTTTTTGTTTTAATACTTGCCTACCGCTACTAAGGAAAATATCGCAATCGTGCAAAATTTCCGATGTGTGGTTTTTAGCAGATCTTAACATTTCAGACTTATACATAACCAGTTAAGAGTTTATCAAATTCCATCACCTAGTTTCGCTTACGGAACCTGCTTACAAGCGTGTTTCAATATGCCTATAGTTTTAAAGGGCTTATTCGTTTGGAGCCAAAGTTGTAGAAAATAATGTATGAATGGTCTAGTAGAAATAAAAATAAAAATATATTTGTTTAGAATATAAGGGCTGTGTAAATGTTTGAGAATTCTTTTAATTATATTTGGCTTACCAGAAATATTACTTCATATAATAGATTTCATACATTTTTATAATTGTATTGAAAATGGCTAACGATTTTTATTGTACTAGTTATATCAATGTGCAATTAAATGGTTTTTAAAAGCTAATAAGCTTTATCCTCATAGATATAATGTGCCATTGCATAAAGGTTAAGACCTTCGGGTTAGGTATGGTCTCAGCCAGTGCCTCGCACTCCATAGTATATGTGTATGCCCACTGTCATTGCATAAAGGCTGGGTTTTCAAAATGGCTTCCTCTAAAGTACCTGTAATATGGTTTATTTGAAATATCATTATCAGAAATTTAAAAAAAATCCCAATAGCTATTAAGTATATTGAAAGATGTGAGATATATAATCTCTCTTTATTTAATTTTTTTTTATCTTCATTTAGATATTATTTGTTACTCTGTTTATATCTCTAAGATCACCAGTGAATTTCGCATACCTTTTGAATCAGTGATTTATTCGTTTATACACTGACAGGCAAAAAATTCCACCAACTTGATTTTTTCATCTAAAAATATTTCTGCTTTGGATTGGTCTATTGTTTTTAATGAATAAATAGGTAATGTTTTTGTTTGTTTTCAATCAGGAATGTTAATATAGAGGACAATAACTCTTAAACCCTTAATAATTGAATGAAATGATTCTAGATTCCAATGTTTACTTTCTATGTAATCAAATGTTTATTCAGTATCATTAGTTCAGTGCCGTTTCTTGCAGCACATTTATATTCTTAGTCTCCGGCTTTTAATTTTTTCAATATTAAGTTTAAAAATGCCTCTTAGTGCTGAGGATGTTGTGCGTGGTGTGGCACTTATTGATGATGGACGTTCCATTAGATATGCAGCTAATGCCATCGGAGTTCCATATGAAACTTTAAGAGACGCCGTCAGGCGTTTTCGGAAAACTGGTTCGTACAATAGAAGGCCCGGTTCTGGACGGTCCAGGGTAACAGAACCACGGGATGACCAGTTTTTGACTTTGAGAATTTTATGAAACCGGCGCCTTACTGTTATTCAAGCGATTCATCAGCTTGAAGAAGTTCGAGGTGTGCAAATTTCTGAACGTACCGCTCGGAGAAGATTAAATGAGTATGGATTAATGGCTTTTCGTCCAGTAAGAGGACCAGAGTTGACCAGAACTCACATAGTAACACGGCTGGCTTTTGCTCGAGAACACAGCCATTGGACTATGGACGAATGGAGTGCTGTACTTTTTATAGATGAGTCAAGATTCGCTCTTCGATCTCCAGACGGGCGTAAAAGGGTGTGGAGAAGAAGAAACGAAAGATATGCAGCTTGTAATTTTTCCCAGAGCCAACCTTTCCAACGTGGTTCCTTAATAGTGTGGGCTGGGATTTCAATCGAGCGCTGCACAGAATTAGTTGTTGTTTATGGAGGGTCTTTGCTGGCCATTTGCTATTTAGATGAGATTTTGGAACCTCATGTGTTGCCTATCCCCTACGAAATCGGCGATCGTTCTATTCTAATGCACGCCCACATATCGTCCGCATTGTACTGACGTTCCTTCAACAGAACAATATTGAGGTTTTAGCCTGGCCAGCACGTTCTCCAGATTTGAATCCCATTGAACATTTATGGAATAACCTCGGAAGACGAATAAGAGCGCGTGAACACTTCCTGATACACTGCAGGACCTTGAAAGGGCTCTTCGGGAGGAATGGGCTATCCTCAAGTATGCAGAGGTGTCTTCAAGAAGTAGTGAAGGCAAGAGGAGGAAACAGGCGCTACTAAACGATGATGTAATTAATTTCTTTTAGAATAATAGTGGTTCGTTTTTCAATTTTTTTTTCTCTAATGTTTCTTACCCAATCACATTTTGATTATTAAAGGTAAAAAAGATACCAATACCATGTATTATACACAAATACAACATTGTTTACTAGTGGGTGGAATTTTTGCCTGTCAGTGTATAATTCAGTTCTGATGAATGCGGAGATGCTTAAACCAGCCAAGTCTGTGAAAAAATTAATTTAATTTATATATTTTTTAAATGTCTCCATCAGATAAAGGGTATTTTACTTTATTTAAGGAATTGTATGATCAGGAAACTAAATAAAAAACAGGCTAGAAATTAAATCCAGCATTAAAAATAATAAGAATTTTTTTTCTTTTATGCTTATTTTTATTTTTTCAGAATTCACCAAGGAGAAAATCATTCTTCCGGAGAACTTGAAATATTTAAGGGAATCCAGGCTTTGCTTTGTAAATAGTATGTACATTCTGTATCATATACGGTCGCTATTCGTCCCCATTGCTGTATTGGTAGCAATTTTCTTTCATTTTGATTAATAAATAATAAATTTTATCTAATGTATTAATAAATTTTTTTGATATTATTTTCAAAGGCTGTTTTAAAAATGTACTTAAGTGAATTTGGCTATGCTTTGTAATGAATTCATTGTAATATCATTGCATGTGTTGTAATAAATAAATAAAAAAAAACAATGTGATTCTGTATATCTTTTTTATGTGATATTGACTAGTTATTATGTTTCTTTTTATAATTAACTCTTTTATTTATACTTCATATTTTAATATACTTTCAATTTGAAAGTTTAATACTTGGTTTTTTCTTTTTATTTCACCTTAAAACAATATTATTATTTCATAAAAATTGATGCTTGAATATCTTGTTAGAAGTTTGAGTTATGCTTTGGTTGAATTTTGATGGAAAAATTTATGAAAACTTGATTGCAAGGTTAAAGAAATATAATAGAGCAAAATTCTAATCATCTTAAATTTAAATTACTCACTGATAGGCTGAACCTCTTGGCAGACCTGAATGATACAACAGCTGAAGATCACAACCAGGACTCATCCGTAGTCTGGCTACTTATTAGCCAAAGCTGGGTAGGAAACAATGTAAAATCGTATAAACTAAGGGGTCGTATAACTAACTTCACTTCAAGCCAGTTGTTCAGTTTACATTTTGTTCTTGATGTTGCTTGACTTTCCCATTATCTTTATTGTAGGTTTTTTAAAATAAATTATGTGATCAGGGGGTCGGTCTTCATGATGACAAGGATTTCAGATTTAGTTCTTGTGTCCCCTAACTTGTATAAGTTCCTGACTTTTGGTGCTTTTCATAATATTCTATGACTATCTCAGTGTACTTCAAATATTGAAGTATTTCGTGTTAATTAGTTTATATTTAATAATAGTTACTGTGTTGATCCAAGGGGACACTCGGTCAGATAAACAAGATGCTCTCTTCGATAAATATAAGGAATTCCTCCAATTGGCAAAATAAATTGGTTACAGCTGTAATAATGAAACTATAAGAATAATAAGGAACCTTCCTTTACAATGAAAATAAGAAGAGTGAAACTACATTGCAAAATTTTGACTTCCACTATGTTTTGCTTATGTCGGTTTGATTTTTCCTGTTTCTGATTTATTTTATTATCGGATATTTTAAATTTAATTATCTATCTAATCTTTCTTTCGCTTTCAATACTCTGCTCTTTTTTGGCCTCCCACTCTTCATTCTTTTTTCTTAATTTTTTTTTATTGTTTACTTTAGTTAATAGAAGTTTTATACCTAACTAATAATGTTAAGACTAATTGTGAAATCAAAAATATTTTTATATCAGTAACATACCAAATAAATAGCATGGAATCTGAAAAACTTAAAAATAGGTGACTTTCTCACAGGGTAAATTACTATACTATGAAAGGAAAAAACAAAAACAAAAAAAGGTTACTGTTAGTGCTTGTTTGAAAAATTAACTCTAAGTGTTTTAGAGTTTTGTTTTGAAGATTGTAAGTACTTTTGAAGCATGGAAGTTAAGCTTCAGTTACTGTGTTGAAGTTAATCTATTTTTTGATTTAATAAATTCAGAATTAAGCTGTTCTGAGTTAGAGGAGAATATAAAAAAGTTTATTGTTGATTTCTTTTTAACCTAAACCAGTGGTCTCTAAACTTTTGGACCGCAGGCCACATTGCGACCTTCACTAAGTCCGCTTTGAGACCTCCCATCTAAATCCTGCAGGCCATGGCTTGTAATAAAAAAAGAAAAATCGTGCTCTATAAATGACACTTCAATTGTGAAATGGACTTTCTAAGAGAAAAAAGCTATGCAATGAATGTAGTAGTGACCGCACGTATGAGTAATTTGCTAAATTTAATAGTTTTTAAAACTTTACTATGTAATCAAAGAAACTTTCGCGGACCGGACAGGAGGTACTTGCAGGAATATGGCCCCAGACTGTATTTCGGAGATGCAAGCTGTAGCTCTCAACCACAATTAGTTGGCAGCCTAAGAGCAAACTAATGCTGCTTTGTATTTAACTATCCTTTTGTTTTTTCGCTTATCTTCTGATTTAAATCACAAAATTTTTGCAAATATATACATTTATTATAAGGTTAGCGTAATATTTGTAATACACGTACATATGTATATAAGTAAGTAATAATGAAGGATAAGAGAAAAACAGAACATTAGCTGTGCTGCATGACTTTGCTCTCGGGATTCCAATTAATTGTTGAGCTTTAATTCTAGATTTAAACTGTAAACATTTATTTTAGGTGATGATAAATTTCTGGAGCTAAAAGAAATTATCAAGAATAAACAACAATTCAGCATTGCAAAATACTGTTAAATTCATTCTTACATTAATTTTTAATCAATTAAAAGTTAATTTAAGAAAAATTGATCTTTGTAAATAGTGTTATAAAATTAAGGTTCAGTGATTACTTCAAATAAAACAATATTTTATAAAACATTAGTAACATTTATTGTACATAACACTTACAAAGTAATTTTACTCTAATATGTGAAGCATTTAAACAATTAAATTTAATTAAATAGACTTATAATTTATGTAAAAAAATAATATTAAAATACTCAAATTTATAGATATGTATATATTATAATTATATAATTTTTTGTTCCATCATAATTTATAAAATATGGTATGTAATGATAACTAAAATATTATATCTAATGTTCAAAATGCAATATAACAGGTCTTTTTCTGCCTCCACCTTATTTATATCACATGTCCGTATTGAGTCTATTCATTGAGGCAGACTGTGCGTACAAGAGCCTCGGTTACGCTGTAGGGATCACAGTTAGATGATGGTCTTCTATCTTCTAGGTATCCTTTCTTGTCTTCAGCACACTGCCTTGGAATCCTCACACTGGCACCTCGGTTAGCAACCCCTAAAACATTGTTTTATATTTTATTATTGATAATGCAAATATAACTACAATTTAAAAAAAAAAATGTTTACAATAATTAGTATAATATATTTACTGGTTCAAAGTAATTATTTATATAGTTCTTAGTCATGAATAAAGAAGGCCCTTTGTTTAACTTAATTTTATTTATTTATCCTGACCCTACCTTTCAAGTCTATGCAACCATATTTTTTAGGTTTCATTACTTGCATCAGTTGCTAATCTCCTCTTGGACCAAGTTATCTCTTAACCAAAGAGTTTGTAGAGTTGTTATGTGTGATTCACTTTTCTTCTTCTCTTCAATCCTATGATTTATGAAGAGCCCAGCCTCTCCTCCAAGTTTACTTTAACATCTTCCTGCCAGTGAAACCTTTGTTCTTCACTCTATAAGTTTCCTTCAGGATTCTATTCTCCTTCATTCCTCTGCAAGTGTCGTGACCATCTTAACTTTCCTTTCTTATTGGTGGTCATACCATAAAGTATTACATAAGTAAATCAACTCTTGATTTGATCTCATTCTCCTTTTAGCTCTTCTCTTGAATCAAGCCAAATATTTTGTAAAAAATCTTTATTCCCCACTCAACAATCAATCACTCATTTTTTTAAGGTTAGGATCTAGATTTCAATTCTGTTCAAGATCACAGAACCATGGATTGCCTTGTACAATTGCATCTTCCGGCCTCTTTGGATCTTCTATGGCCAAAAGCACCCATTACCCACCTTCTCTCTCTCTTTGTTTTTCCCTTCTATTTCATTAATTTCAGAGTAAGTAATTAATAACTGCTGTATCAAAACTATCTTATTCTATTCAGGTAGTTCCCTCCATCTTAATATTTCAAGGTTATTAAGTATTCATGCTTATAAACATTAATCTTGAGCCATATATTTTTCACTTCTTCCAATACCTTGAATGCTCCAAGATCATTTACCGTTCTGCCTATCATAAATACTTCATCAGCAAAGGCCAGGTTCTCTGTGAAGCTATTATACATCCTGCTGAATTTGTGTCTATTTTACATATCATAACCTCTAACAGTAATTAATTAAAGAGTATTATATTTATTACTTAAAACTATTCTATTTTGTTAAATTTGGCTGCTGGTTTACCAGCCTTTGGTATAGTTTACTCTGCCGTTAATTTTTAACTTTTAAAATTACCTGCGCTAAAGTCGTGAATGGAAGATGTTTCGTGGCGCCCAGTCAGCCTCCTCTCATTATCCCTGCCTTGGTTTGGATCGTAAGCTTTTATATGTCTCAAGTGTTGTTTAGACATTTTGTCTATTGCATTTTCGATATGTCTGAAAGGAGAATATTCATTTATTTTCCGAATTACACATTTCCTTTATGATAAAACATTAAAATTAAAGACTTACATGATTCCGTTATCTTCTCTCATCTCTTTGGTGGAAAAGTTGCAATGGGCACCAGCACCGTTCCAGTCTCCTGGCATTGGTTTGGGATCAAGTGTCACACAAACTCCAAACTCTTCTGCAACGCGGTGTAGGATGAAACGAGCCATCCAAAGCTCATCTCCAATTGAAATACCTTCACAAGGTCCTACTTGGAACTCCCACTGAAAATATAATTTATTTCGCTCATTTTCATGTTAAGTGAGAATTTAAATATATGATTAGAATTTCCATATCGACAGCCACACTGCAAAAGCCTGTAAGGATAATTTGTATAGAAAATGAGGTTTTGAGGCCAATCTTGTTGCGCATATTTTGATCCCACAAAATGAAATCTACGATATTTCATTTCTTCTCTATGTCCTTTTGTAAAAACCTTTAATTTAAAAACCAGAAAATTGTCATGTAAAAAACTGTAAGTTACAGTGAAGGTTATAGAGATTGTGTCATTACCGAAAAAATGTAATGAAATGCTCAATGAAAGGTGTTCATGTAAATACAGATTGTATAGTGTTTTGGGCATGGACTGCAGTATTTATTAGCTTTATTAATAAGCTAAAATTAATTTTTCTCATACGGTTTGTATTTTTTTTTTTTTCTAATAAGTGACGGGAACTTCCATTCTGGCGCCACTGGACAAATGCCTGGGTTCTCTTGATCTGAGACCGGCACTGCTTACCATTGAACTAGAAAAAGCAAAGAAGAGAGTGGTAAGTGGAAATATAATATTAAACGGCCTTTAAAACAATTGAAACCTCCTGGACACTGCAAAATGAGCTTGGCTGAAAAAAAGCTACAATGCCGCTGAATTCCAGATAGTGAGAGACAGAATTGATTAGAAAATTTAGCACGAGACGAAAAAAGAACTCGAGTTTTATCTTTTCAAACCAATGAATCATCAGCAGGAGGTTACATAGAACTTATCAAGCATTCTTGAATCAAACCATGTCCATATGAAGTTGAGTACGTTAAAAATGAATCTTTAATAGACTACTCCAAAATGGGGTGCATGCACTCTGTTCGAGTCGCCCAGAGGGGGAAAAAAAAGTGAATAACCCATGTGATTGAATACTCGCTGTCCAGTTAGTTTTGATACAAATTTCATTTGAAGTATCGTTACTCTATATTGTGGAAACTGACTTTATTCCTGTCATGGTTTGATCATTATTAACAAAGTTATGGGTGCCACTACAATAAATTTGATTGGTTTTACCTAATACCTGTTTTCAATAAATAACTAAAAAGCTATAAGTTAAAATTAATGGCTCTAAAAGATTATTGGGCAGAAATACGATTGAAAAAGTTACATAAAGCATTACATGTTAGTCTTAGATCTGCCAAAAAAAAATTGAATCAAAAATATAATGCTCATAAAACAAAAATTAAGCAAGTTTTTTTTTGTCTCCTAAACATTTTTAGTTTTTGTTCTCATAGCCTTTTGCTGTGTGGCTGTTGATATATTGTTCTAAAGAATATAATATTAAATTTATTATACGTAGTGTAAAAAAGGCATATAATCACCTGAGAAGGCATAACTTCTGCATTGCTTCCTGAAATGTTGATTCCAGCATATAAGCATGCTCGGTAATGAGACTCAACTATGTCGCGACCGTAGACTTTGTTGGCACCAACGCCACAATAATATGGTCCCTGAGAATTGACATACTTTTAGTTTAATATTTTAATCCTACTTTTCATATCTAAATAAAATTATTAGAAATAATTCTGACCTGTGGGCCTGGGTAACCATTCCTTGGCCAACCAAAAGGTCTTCCTTCCATATCTAATAAGGTATATTCTTGTTCTATTCCAAACCATGGTTTTTGGTCTGCTGCCTTTTGCATTGCCTCCAGACAGCTATGGCGGTGATTAGTTGCTGAAACAAAACAAAGATGAATAAGCATTGGTAAAAATATCTTAATTTTATTAGTTCAAATTAAAAATAATAACTAAATTTTAACAAATATTCTTCTCCATGACGAAAATGTTATTTCTCTTACAATTACAATCAGCCAAATGACGAAAATTTAACATTTGTATATTACAGAAAATAATTTTTTTTTTTTACTTTTATTTTTCGAATCTGCACCCGTTAATTACATTTATTAATAATCAGCAGATATGCTCACTACATAATGAGAGCAAAAGTAATTGATTCTTTATCTTAATTCTAAATTGCATTTTGTGAATTGCAGTGAAAAAAGTAAAATATTTCTGGACGAATAAGTGTGAAGTATTGGTATACTAAACTCCTAATAATGAGAGCAAAAGTAAGTGACTCTTTATCTTAATTCTAAATTGCATTTTGTGAATTGCAGTGAAAAAAGTAAAACATTTCTGGACGAATAAGTGTGAAGTATTGGTATACTAAACTCCTGTTTTTATAAGCCAGTTTATTGTTAAATACTTAACAATCCATGTCAATATTACAAGGACATCCCTTAGCTTAAGTACATCAAACATCATTGAACTAATATTTATCTGTGGCTCCTTATCAATCATCTATTATATCAACATTGTCATTCATAATTGAAATTAGTATTTTTTAATACAATTTTCACCTTAAACACAACAGTGAATATTACCACCGACATGTGTTATTCTCTCTTTCACACACATGCATAAGGAATGAGAGTGAAAAGGTGCTATAAAATATTCCTGTAAAGAGCATTTCTTCAGGTGAACATTACGTATACAGTAACAGAACGATCCAAATTTTGAGCATTCTCATCTTGCTTGACAGTATTATACAATCAACTTTTCCACAAGAAAATAACTTGCTAAACATATATAGATCAATAAGCGGTATATCTTAAAGTGCAATTTCTCACTAAACCTTTGTTAATATTTCTTTTTAAAAGTACTTTACAGGTGAGATATTTTAAATATTATTTATTTACCTGTAGGTTTCTTGTTATACTTGTAGGTATCACACATAACTAGCTTATTGTTTCCTAGCCTAAATGGATCCCTGTACATTGCGACTGGGTAAAGATATGTATCAGAGTTGACACCTTCTGATTGCATTGTAGAACTTCCATCATAATTCCAAATTGGTAATTCTGTAAAAAATAGAAAAAAGATTGAATTACTAAGATTTATTGGTCCAAAAAAAAAAGTTTATGTTTAAGACTTGTTATTAACGAGTAGTAAATACAAAGTTCAAAAACTATTCCCATTGCTTTAAAAATTATTAATAATATTTTATTGAAGTAATAAAAATCTTAAAACAGTCGATGCTAATATCATTTTGAAAGTGACATTATTTATTATCAAACTTATAAAATTTTAGTACATTATAAATAACTGTAGGTAAGCATTGGTTTTTTTTATTGTTTTTTTTCACTTTCTATTTTTATTTTAATACTATATAATTTTGTTTGTGGGTCTATATTTGAATATATTAGATAAATAATTATTTATTTATTTTTCATCTCAGTTACTATTGTAAATGTTTATTATATCATTTAATTATGCTGTTGGTTAAGTGACCAGATGCTCAAGAATAGTATTCTTGGAAAATTAAGTTACTTTTATACCTATGTCCCAAACATTACCCTCAAGATACTCCACAAAGCTACTTGTTTTGGGTAATAATTCTGAATAGTTAGCAATAGTAGTTCCAAAATCTTTGAAGCAGACGCTTCTTTCAATGGCCTCATTCATGCAATATGAAATCAATAAACTGTAGAAAGCTGAAAAATTTATTTTCTTTGGAAACTTCTCCACAAACAGGAGTAGCAAATTATTCCCAGTGAGAATTGCCGTCACCGGTTCCCAATTTCATTTCAAGAGCACATTTTTTTTCAACAGTTTGAACTTGGATTCAGACAATTAGTTGTCTGAATGGAATAGAATACTGTATGTATTTTATATTATTAAAAAACGCTATTCTGTTTATTTTAAGAAGGGGTTGGAAAAAAAAAATTATTTTTAAAATGTCTTTCAGTGCTTTTGGAACTAGAACTTTTTCTCTAGCAATTTTTCTAGGTTTAACAGAACTTTTATTTCTAAAACTTCTGTCGATTTCACTAACAAATTGATGTAAAAAATGACTTTTATCCATAATTTCTCAAACAAATGACATTAGAGTCATGTGTAGTTCATTTCAATTTAAACCCAATTCTATTTATTTTTCATTTAACTGAACTTTAAAATATACAAGTTAAAGTTTTACCGCAAATCTGGAACTTTATTATAAAAAAAATTGCCTGGAACTTTTATTTTAAAAAGTTTCACAGAAACTACTCAAATGGAACTTTTTTGATAAAAAGCTTCATTGAAACTGTTAAAATGGAAATTTAAAAAAAAAAATCCTTAAAAGTTTCAAACTCTGGTTTTAGATGCTATATTAGTGTAATGTCAATATAAAATATCATCCGGGTACATGACCTTTTTAACTAAAGTGCTTTTTGTTGGGAAGTCAATAACATTTTTGAACCTCCTTATGAAGTATATTTAGTTTTCGATTGGTTATAAAATGTGCAATCACTGAAGAAACTATTAAATCATAATTCAAATTTTTAGAGCTTAATATTTATTTTCGTTTGAATTTATAAATTTTTTAAAATCTTTCATGAAACTTTGCATTTCATTTTGATCAGAAGGTATTATTCTGAAATGTTCTATTATTCTCTCTTTACCAACAAACTTTATTAGCCATATTGCTCTCATGAGACCATAAATAATACAATAGAATCAAACTAGAAAAAAAGCTTTTTTTGTTCATTACAAGAAAAGGTCACTTTTTAAGGAATCATACATGGGCATAGAATTAAAATTCAATAAATATTTGCGTTTTTATATTAGAAATAAAAATCTTACCTGTAATAGAAGTTGGAATAAAGTCTAATGTTCTTGTCTTAGCCCTGAGACCTTCTCCTGTTCCATCTATCCAGACATACATTGCCTGGACTTTGTCTTCTGGTTGGGGCAATGCCAAGAAACGATTAAGGACACTTTTATTCATTTTTGCGTTGGGAGAATTCTCAAGCACCACCATTCTGCGAAAAAAAAGAAAAACAAATATTAACTCTCTGAGACTTCACTTTTCTTTCATCACCTATGACCACCTTAAATGTTACATTAATGATTTAATAATTTAAGGGTTTTTCAATATGTTTCTAATATTAATCTTGGCATTTTTAAAAAAAAGAGAAGTTGAATTTTTTTTTTTTTAAATCAAGAGTTAAAATAAAATTTCCTCATGAAATATAATACTTTCTTTTTCTTTTAGTGTAATGAGTTTGAATCCATTAGAGACAAACTAAATATAAACAAAATTAAAATTTATCTTGGATATTTTTTAATATATTCAATTCCTAGAAGTGATGAAGATGTAAAATAATTTGACTTACCAATACGATCTGTAGTAATCAGACAACGTTACTTAGAGAACATAAATTCAGAAAAGATATTAAGAATACGTATTAATATTTTGAGAGATGTTCACTGCATGAGTTAAACTAAAATACTAAATATTTTGAAGGACTAGGTTTATACCTGGACTCAAAATAGGGAACGGAAAATTCCTTGAGGGTAAGTTTATGATGGTCACAGGTAGATGGTTAATATTTTGCCCTTTATAATATTTAATGCTTCTACAAACAGAATGCCATATGTCTGGGCTATACGAAATTCTTGTCGGCGGGTTTATAGTTGTATTATTCTACAGCGATAACGTTTTTGGCTATCGTATCGCTTTCTATAAGCGTGAGCCTTTAATTTTAAAATTATGGAAACATCTGAACCTTCAAGAAGTGGTTTAGACAATCGACTTAATTGCAGATAACAATGTCCATATCCCTGGTTTTAGATGATTAATAGTCCGTTTTGCTAGAGGAATCGCAATTTTTGTTTTTTTCAGAGAGGGACAATATAAAAAAAATTCGTTAATGTCATGAGTTGCAACACAATTTGCAGGATATTTAATTTAAAATATTACAAATTATTTATTTGGTAAAGAAATATTTTAATTTACCGACATTTTCAGTTACCTTCTGCGTGCAAATGTTGACACAATCATGATTTTTCTTTTATATTCAAAGAAAATATTTATTAAAAAAATCTCAGTAACTAAACTTAAAATATGTCAATAATATTCAATTAAATTAGTTATTAAATAAATTTTAATAAATCTGGTGGTGGTCAAGAAATCCCCTAACTTAAACTCTACTCGAAAGTGTACAAAATTGATGATTGCAAAAGAAAAAAAAACTGCAGATAGCAAATTTAATCATGACAGATTAAATGCTTAGGTTAACAAATTAGATTAACTAAATCTTTAGTCATTTTCTATTTTATAATTTTTTGTTTTTGTCTCTCCTCCCTTCCTCGCCTTTTTTTCCTGGGCCAAGTTAGAGCGCGGGGGATTTATGCCAGAATTGAAAGCTCAATTCTCAACACCTTCAACCAAAAAATTCTTTGGATGCATCTACGTCCACGAAGTTCTATTCGTCAAAAGACGTGACTAAGAACCGTGCACACCTATGTTTCGAAAATAGATTTCTTGTAGCGGTCATTAGATCTCTGGAATTGGTTTGGCAATTAGTTATCAAATACCAGTCACCACTTGTTTCTTCGTCATTGATGTCCATTTTATTTTCCTCAACATTCGGTGTTGAGGTAGGGTCCGATTCTCCTGTCGGATTCCCTTCTAAATCCTAACTACCAGTTTAGTATACTAATATTAAAACTTTAAGGCTCTAAATGTTAATGGGGTAACTCAGTGGTAGGGTACTGAGCTTCCAATGCTATAAAGATCCCAGGTTCGAATCCTGGCTTATGGCAGAAAAAATATTTATTCCGTTTCATTGGCCGTGGGGCGACCCTGGGTAGGTAGACCTTCCTGGAGCACACTCAGCCTCTATAAAGTGCTAACAAAATAATTAATTAAGGGGAAAAAACCCGACGATTCAGCGTGATCTCGGTCAAATCACCTCCTTGCACAACCGTACACCAAGAAACAGTGCTTTCCTTAAATAGTAATGAACCCAAGACCCTTCATGGGTTTTTGCGGTACAGGTTTTAAGGCTCTTACTTACTTACTTACTTATTATGCAGCTGTACAGCCCAGGGTGGGTCTTGGATTTCTGAATTATAGCACGCCAATCATCTCTATTGCTCGCTTTTTTCCTTCCAATTTCTCACACCCAGTGTTCTCAGGTCGCTCTCAACATCTTGCAGCCATCTTTTCCTTGGTCTTCCTTTTTGTGCCATACATTGCCCTACAGAGAACAATGCCCTATAAGGTATCCTGCTGTAGTCCATTCTAACCACGTGGCCAAACCATTCCATACGCCCAGTTTTAACGAAATTAACTATGTTGGATCTGTTATATAATTCATATAGCTCCGCATTTTATCTATATCTCCACACACCCTCTTCACAAACAGCTCCATAAATTTTTCTCAATATTTTTCTTTCACAAATATTCAGCATACTAATTGTGCTTGTACAAAGGGTCCATGCCTCCGCTGCATGAGTCACAATAGGTCTTACTAAAGTCTTATCTTTGCTTCTCGTGACAGAAGCGATGATCGAAAAAATTTAGGTTGGCATAGTACGCCCGGTTTCCAGCCATGATCCTCTTGTACACCTCAGCAGCAACTTTATTTTCATAATTCACTTCCACCCCCAGGTATGTGAATTTTTTGACGCACTCGAAGGTGAGACCAGATATTTCAATGCTCTGTGGACCAGCCTCATTGTCGGCTCCGACATACATGTATTTTGTCTTATCTTGATTTATTTCCAGCCCAACATTTTCAACTACAGGTTTCATTATTGCAAATATTTCTTTTGTTAATCTCGAATTCCTGGTAATTAGGCATATATGGTCTGCGTAAGCATACATTTTTTTTACGCACATATTGCGTTAAGTATGCAACCAGGCGAGTCCAGTTTTTTCAAAACATTATTAAGTGCAAAATTAAATAATATGGCAGACAAAGCATCCTCTTGCCTAACTCGATCCACCATTGGAAAGCTATTGCTTACATTGCCATTAATAATTACTTTTGCATTGATTTTATTCATAGTCATTTGCAATAACCTTATTAATTTTTTTGGAATTTGGGACTCATGTAAGGCATTTATTTATTTGCTTCTTATCATCCTATCGAAAGCTTGCCGGTAATCCATGAAGAGCATATACAGGTCAATCTTATATTTCAGATAATATGCAGGTCAGCCTCATATTTAAGGCTCTAAATAGTTCCATTAAAATACGCAAATAAACTTTTTTGTTAGATAATAATAAAGTTTACAGAAATATATTTTAGAAAAACTTACAGTACGACCTTTTGTGCTAGTTTTTGAATTTTTTATTCCTTTTAGTTAATAGCTTCGGTTATTAATTCGAGGAAATAATTCTAAAAAAAGGTATTATGAGTGGTTAAAGCTGATGTTGGTTAGTTAATGACGACCCCGACCTCGTGGAGACCACAAGTTATCCCTGACATGAAAACAAGATGGATTATTACTTCGCTTCGCAGCCAAATGAAGTGTACTTGGTCACGAAACTCGAAATTAGCAATATTTTAAGACTATCTCTCGATATGTCTTCCATTCCATTTAATTCATTTCGAAACTGTTGAAATGATAACGGTAGGACATGACATAAACGCAAACTTTACAAGCAACTATAATTACTATATCAAGTATATTCCAGCCAGAACATTCACGTTAGACAGCTTAGCTTCTTCCTAACATGGGTGGACATTGTCTATTTAATGACGTACTAAAAACTATTGAACACCTTTGCTTTTCACTTCAATCGTATCAAAATTTGATCCCAAAATAGAAAAAAAGGTGGCCTACAAAAATATTGGGCCGTTTGGCGTGATATCCACCTCCAAACATGCAAAAATACAAAACATTATATTGGCCAAATGTAAAATTATTTTACGACTCAAGCGGAAAGCAAGTGGGTATTCATTACTTTTTAACATCTCTTTAAAATAATTAATTTAATGAGAAAACGCCCTATTTCTGAGAATTAACGCCCCATTAACACGATAGTTAAAGTAACAATTTACTTAACTAGGGGGGTAACCCCTATACAACGGCGGACCAACCCCCATTTTACAAATTATATAACTGTTCATTTAATTTTACTGCTCATTGCTCAAATTGTATAAATTTACTTTACTTATATTCTATAGTTCAGATTGTATTATTTTTTTCTCTACATAAAATAAACTGAACGAAACTGCAGTTCGGACAAATTTTTAATTTCTTTAAAAATATATATATATAAAGGAAGGAGATGGTCCGGGGTGGCGGTCATAAATAGGCTAAATAGTGGTAAAACTATTTTATTAAAAACCAACGTTTCTACCCGACTTTGCAGGTCTTCTTCAGGAAGGTGTGTTCAGCTAGGAGTTTCACTTAAAACTGAAGTTGAGTTCTAAGTGAAACTCCTAGCTGAACACACTTCTCTGAAGAAGTCCTGTAAAGTCGGGTCGAAGCGTTGGCTTTTAATAAAATAGTTTTACCACTATTTAGCCTATTTAAGACCGCCACCCCGGACCATCCCCTTCTTTTATAATGCAACGGTCAGCTATTAAATATATATAACTACTCTTATTTACCGAAATTTGTTTTCATCACGAGAAAGTATTTCTCCCTTTTCCTTTTTTTTTTTTTTTTTTGTACGTACCTCATAGTCCGTGGTACGGACGCCTTTTATCAAATTATTAACATCCGCCTGAACCTTCGTGAATATTTTATCGTAAACTATTGACATCTTTGTAAAGACTGAATTATTTCTAAGCAGCGAAATGCTACAGAGGTAAAAAAACATTGTTTGGAAGAGGATTAATAAATGTTGACGTTCATACAAATGAATATTCCAGTAAACGTAAACAGTTTGTCATACAGAGCGGTATTATAAAGAAAACTAAAAATCCTGCATTATTTTCCGAACAAACCAATAGTTAGTATATAGTATTTCAAGCTACATATAATAAAGAATTATTATCTTTTAAAAAATAAAATTTCC